ACTGTGCCACCTACCAGTTGGGGTCCCTCAGTTGAGTCTTTTCTCAATGACTCAGTTTCCCCAGCTCCCCAGTAAATGATCTGGATCTTCAGGCTTCCTCTGCTCAGATGGGTTTTTTGTTTGTTTTGTTTTAACATCTTATTTGTTTCAGGGAGAGGGAACTTGTGTGCTATGGTGTGTGTGTGTGTGTGTGTGTGTGTGTGTGTGTGTGTGTGAAGGTCTGACATCTTGTGCAAATCAGCTCTTTCCTTCTGTCTGTGGGACTCGGGGCTCAAACTCAGGTCATCAGTTTGGCGACAAGCATCTTTTACCCACCATGCTCATTTGTTTTGGTCAACTTGCCACCTGATGTATTTGGGAGGAGGAAGTCTCAACAGAGCAGTAGTCTTCATCAGATTGGCCTATAGACACATCTGCGGGGCATTTTCTTGATTAATGGCTGGTGTGAGGGGCCAGCCCACTGTGGGCGGTGGCACCCTGGGCGTGTGCTTCCGGATGGTATAAGAAAGCAGCCTGAGCAAACCATGGGGAGCTAGTCAGCAAACAGCTCCATGGCCTCTGCTTCGGTTCTTGCTCCCGCGTTCCTGCCTGGCCCTCCCTTCCTGACGGCCGGCACCTGTACACTAAAATAAACCCCTTTCTCCCTGTGATGCTTGTCACAGGATGGAAACCTGAAGCATTCACGTCCCCCCAACGCAAACGTCTAATGTTCTGAGCTGGGAAACTGTCTTCTTCGTGTGTCCTCATCCCACACATCCCTGGATGCCAACTCACGTATCTCAAACCGATTGTTCTGGGGTCTCAGGCTGCACCAGACACTAAGCTTGGGGTCCTCAACTCAAACATTCTCTCCTATTCCTACGCCTCAGAGGAACTGCAAGGCCTGTGCGGCAGCCTAGGGGGGAGGCCCAGTGTTTAAACACACAGGCAGGTTGGTGAGGAAATCCTCTCCGAGCCTGCACAAAGCCAGCCATAGAGTCCTGTAGCCTTGGCTTCTCCTTGGGTGAATGGGCCTCTACAAAGAGAGGGAAGGAGCTGGGCATTGGTGGCACATGCCTTAATCCCAGCATTTCGGAGGCAGAGGCGGCCGGATCTCTGTGAGTTCAAGACCAGCCTGGTCTACAGAGTGAGTTCCAGGACAGCCAGGACTGTTTCATAGAGAAATCCTGTCTCAAAAAAACCAAGGGCGGAGGGGAGCAACAAAGGACATAGCATGGGAACTAAGACTTCAGCAGGGTCTCAGGCCCTAAGGGATTCTGGGATGCTCTAATTCCAGAGTGCTCAACAGGGGCTTAAGCTTTTACTCCCTCATGGCTCCCTCCCTCTTGTGAGTCTTCAGATCCACAGGGAGCAGCCTGGAAGAAAGGGTGTGATGGGCAGTGTCTGAACTTTACAGCACAGAGAATCACCTGAGACGGACCTCTGGGCACGCCTAGGAGGAATTATCTTGTGCTGACGTGGGAGGACTAATCTTAACTGTGGGTAGGACTGTTCCCTGGGCAGAGGATCCCGACTGTGTAAAGAAATGGAGCCGGGCACTAGCGTGCGTGAGCGTCCATTGCTGGATGCTCTGCACTGTGGACGTGAGGTGACCAGATGCCCGACGCTGCTGCTGACTACCCCGCTGCTGTAGACTGTAGTTTGAACAATGTGGCAGAATAATCCCTTCTTTGCCTTAAGTTGATTTTGTTGTGGTATTTTTTTTTATCACAGCAACGGGAAAAGTAAGACACATGGCATAGTTTTTGAGGTTTGAAGGCCGTTACACCTCAGAGACTATCTCCCTGAGATGAGCTCTCAGGGTCTTGGTGACACCCTCACAGAGCCGATGAACCGGCCCTCAGCTCATGGGTCACAGGCAGAGTGAAACTCAGCCTTACTATTCACGTCTAAACTTGGAAGCTCCCGTGGATGCCAGCCTTTCTCTCCTGCTAGAAGTCCAGGGGCCACGTTAATAAGGCGAGAAGTTTGAGTCATGTCCCTGCCACTTAGTCCTAGGGAACTCTTCTCTGACACAACACTACACTCCCCACACCCAGCCAAACTGTAAACAGAAGCATGTTCAAATTAGAAATAATAGACAATAGATATGCTAACACACTCCCTTGGCCATGCTTTAGAGAAATAATCACCTTCATTCATTGTTGGTGGAGACTTAATTGCTAAAATCTTGGTACAAGGTAACTTGGAAGTATGTATCAAAATTACTAACACATAGGTCCTTTAGTAATGATCCCAAGTCCAAGAATGGATTCTGCAACTATACTTTGTATGTAATAAATGACGCATATCTGAAACTTATCATGGCGCTGTTTGCAAAGCTACAGCAGGAAATTACCTAACTCAAAAGTTGAGTTGAATAAATAAGGATGATGAATCAACCACGTGATGAAATACTATGCAGCTGTAAAAAAGGACCAGAACATTCTTGTTTAGAAAAAAGTGCTCCAAGAAAGAGCAAAGAGACAAGACAGAGTTGTGCGCCAAGGGCATCACCTTTTGTGAAGAAAAAAAAAACCATTCTTTGCTGTAAAAAATAGAAATTTAGATTTTCATGCCTTCCCTCAAGAAAATAGGGAGGGGTAGGAAAAGCTCAGCAGCCCTGGAATGAACTTGCCCCGCTAAATTCTCCACCTTTGAACAAGAAGTGAGTGAAGCAATAGCAAAGTCAAGGACTGGACAAGGAGAAGGCATGGCTGGCCCTCCCTGGGCTTCATCTCTGCCTTCATTCTCTATTCTCACTTCCAAGCTAACCTCAAGGAATGGGATCCGTCCTGTCCGATGAGGAAAGGGCAGGAATGGGGCTTAGTATACAAGACACTGAATTCCAGAAAGCACAAGGTCATTCTTCAAAGAGAAATGAGACAGGCGGTTGTGGTCATGTCCATGCCATGTGTTCACTGCAAGTGATTTGATTCCAGCAAGAGAAGCTGCTGGAGAGAGGCCTGGAGTGCACACTCCTTTAATGCCAGCACTCAGGAGGCAAAGGCAGATAAATCTCTGAACTTAAAGCCAGCCTGATCTACATAGTAAGTTCCTGATCAGTCAGAGCTACACTGGGAGACCCTGTCTCAATAAATAAATCATTAAACATGTGCCCTCTGTCTCAAATGTACTGGATATGTTGTTTCCCACGTATTTAAACTGCATGTTTATGGTATGAGGCTTCAGCAGGTAAAGGTTCTTGCTGCACAGTTCAAGTTCATCCCTGGAACTCACATAAAAGTAGAGACAACACACACACACACACACACACACACACACACACCCCTTGGTGGCAGCAGGACAGGGGGCTGGGACTTGCTGTGGCGTTCTTCTCCCTCCTCTCCCTCCTGGGCCCAGTTTCCAGTCTGGGAATGAAGGGGGACAACAGACCACTGCCAAGGTCAGGTGTGGTTCCCCAAGTCGATGGGAACACGTTCCTGAGATAGGGGTGCGATGGTCGGAATGTGAGGGGCAACAGATAGTGACGGACCGCCCCAGTCCAAGAGCTGAACAAATATTGACCCTCAGCAAGGCAGCTTCTTGAAAACCCTCCACAGGATGCCTCTGAGCGTTACCCTATCTGCAGGCACCCTCAGAGTGGGGTGCCTCCAGCTGGGAGGGGACAGGATGAAGTCTGTTGACTCCAAGGCTAGTCCTAGCGGGGACAGATGGCAGGCATGCTGGAGGACACCTGCCTCCCCTTGGGGTGTCACGGAACCCAGGACTGAGCCCTCCAGGCTGCTGAGAGGGGTGCCCTCTGGGCAGAAGGAAACACAATCCAGTGTGTGCCCTGGCCTGCTCCACCCAGACACGCCCTGCCTTCCTGGGTCAACGACCTCAGAGACTCTGAGAACCACCAGAGGCTTCCCATCTGCCTTCTGCCTGTCTTAAGGCAGGCAACCGGAATACCATGCCTGGGGCAAAGTGAAACGACTTTCTGTCCAATCCGTTGCTCCAAGGTTCACTCAACTACGCAGGCTGGCAGGGCAGCCCCCAGGGTGCTGCACCCCCTGACCCACTGGCCCCGCCTCATCCACGTCATGGAGGCCGAAGTCTGAGCGGCAGATACAAGCGTGTCATGACTTATTAGCAAAGAGACATGACTTTCCTTAGACCCTCAAGATGCACATTCTCTGGTTCTAGAGGAGGCTGGCAGTAAAGGACACACAGGTTCCGGGGATCTGCTGCAGCCCTTAAGTGAAACACTCAAGTGTTTGCACTCCGTGCAGGCTGAGGAGCAAAGGAGTTTCCAGGATTGGGGCGGGAGAGGCAGGACGGGAGCAGCAGTGCTTCAGAATTCTGGGGAGTCCCCCTTAGCACCACTTGGTCCACAGGAGTGGGGTTTGGAAAGACCCTGCGAGAACATGGGGGCCTCCCTAAGGGCCAGCCAGGTCCCCTCAGAATGAGGCTCTGGAGGACTGGTTGTGTGCCTGCTTCAGGCTGGGCACTAAGTAATAGAAATCTGTTTTTCTTATCAGACTGGAAACCAGAGGATAAACAGGAAAGCTAAAGGGTACTCCTAAACTGCCTAGAAAGAACTTATTTTCCCTGTCACTTAAATCAATGATGTGCTTGGCAAACTGAGCCCACAGGCATTCAGGATATCGCCCAGTATCGAAGCTCACATGCTGTGAGAAAATGAGTGACTATACCACATCTACCAGGAAAAGGAAGGAAACAATTGCAATTTTGTCTCACCTGTTTTTTAAAACTAGATACTGTATCTGCACGGCTCAATCTCAAGGTTAATAAACCCTGAGAATTTTCCCTTCCCAGTACCGCCCTGTCCTCCGCTTCTGCCACTATGTACGCAATCGCTTTGGTTTCTCTGTGTCTTTGCAGTATTTGTTTATGCAAATACCCACAGCATTCCTACTTTCCCTTCTCAGAGAGAGTTTTGTGCGCGTTGGAACACATTCTGTTTTGTATGTAGTTGTAGTGCGAGCCTTCAGATACACCTGCTGCAAACGTGACTGCGCCATGTTAAGAGGGAAGGGGCACTTAAAAGACAGACCTTTACTTTGTGGGATGTTTGTTTATTTGTTTGGCTCGTGTAGCCCAGGCTAGCCTCAGACTGACTATGTAACAGAGGATTCCCTTGAACTTCTGGTCCTCCTGCCCCTACCTCCCAAATGCCAGGATCATGGACATGCACCACCACGCCAGCCTCTGAAGTACTTGAGAGCAAACTGCGTGCTAGACACGCACACTACCATCTGAGGTACATCTCCCAACCCTGGTGGGAGGATTTTTTTAAATTATCTGAATGGAATCTGTTTCCTGCGCCCTCAAGTTCAGATGAACTGTGCCCAGAGGAGAGTGAGACAGGAGGTGCAGACTGTGGGCCATGAGGCGGAGCTTGGAGAAGCGGGGTGAGGCACGGGAAACACAAAGGCGAGCGGTGCTTCTGCGGTCTGGGAGTTCTGAGAATCTCCCGGCAAGGCGAGGCATCTTGGTTCTGGGAACAGAAGTCCTCCCTGTATGTCCCCGGCAGGCTGGGTGCTGCAGCTTCGGAGGCCGGGTTGGAAGCCCTATCTAAGGTACACAGCTTTATCTCCTTTCCTCCCCACTGGGGAGCCTAGGCCTCCCAGAGGGCCTGGCTCCCACTGCCCTGTTAATATTTACCACAGCTTGAAAACACTGGCGCACATAGGCTTTGGCTACCCTCCCACACAGAAGTGCACACGCAGCACATTGCCTCCTTGATCTCCTGAAGTCCCTTCCAGAGCCAGGCGGGTACCAATGGCGCAGACCAGCAGCATCAAGACCCCGTCCTCACCAGAGGTCCAGCTCTGTAGGCACGGGACGGAGGTAGTAAGACAGATAAGCAGCCAGGTCCGCGTTACACAGCCAGTCCAGACGGAGACATGATCTGATGTGACCCACAGGCCACAGTGGGAGGCTGTCCGTGAAAATCAGCAGAGGTGATCTCCATAAGTCTTCACACACCAAATACCATCTGCCGAAATGGCGACATTTTGTATGTTAAGTTAGATAAACATATAACACATTAAAACTTACTTCACTTGGCGCTGGAGACATGGCCAGCAGCTAAAAGGGTTTGCTGCAACAACCGTGAAGACCTGAGTTCAAATCCCAGCACCTACAGAAAGAGCTTGGTGTGGTCTCACACTTGCCTGCCACTCTAACCCGGGGGAGAGTAGAGACAGGAGAATAAACGGGACTAGCTGGCTGCAGGCCAAAACATAGAGTTCCAGATTCGGGGAGAGACTCTAATTCAAAGGAATAGGGAGGGAGAGACAGAAGAGGACACCCAGCAGGGCATGGTGGTATACACACAGTAGGGTCTGGAGGTATTCACACAATAGGGCCTAGTGGTATACACACAGTGGGCCTGGTGGTATACACACAGTAGGGCCTGGTGGTATACACACAGTGGGCATGGTGGTATACACACAGTAGGCATGGTGGTATACACACAGTAGGGCATGATGGTATTCACACAGTAGGGTATGGTGGTATGCACACAGTAGGGCCTGGTGGTATACACACAGTAGGGCATGGTGGTTTACACACAGTAGGGCATGGTGGTTTACACACAGTAGGGCATGGTGGTATACACACTGAAAAAGAGCAGAAGAAAGAGGAGGAGGAGACTCAGTGCCTTCCTGGACCTCCTACACTCACCAAGCTCGCACTTACATGCTCACACACACACCCAACACACACACTCATACATGAGTTATATCAATTTCAGTTGCCCCTTCTATATGTTTTAGGGATGTTGGTTTAGTTTTGCTTTTTGTGGGGCTGCGACTACATCTAGGACCTTGTGCAAGCTCAGTGCACATTCTAACACAGCTACAAGCTCAGCTTTACAGTCGACTCTTATAAAGGGTTCCTAGCAAAGCTAACATAGACGTGGCTTACACTGTGGATCTGTTGGATCGCTGGCTCACACCGAGGATTTGTTGGACAGACTTTGAATACTACAGGAAATCTATCTTGAAGGCTGCACCCTTCCCGCTTCCTGCCACCAAACTGAAAGCCCCAGGAGGTGGAGTGTCCTGAAAGGGAGGAGAGGGTGATGGAGAGCCAACAGATCGTGCTCTCTGCTTGGGAGTGATTAGTTAGCGCTGCGACCCACCGCTATAAACCTCACCGCTTTGACTGAGTATCACAAGTGATTTGCTTCAGTGGTGGTCTTCTGAGGCAGCAAGGTGAGGGCCATGCCTTTTTGAGGAGTAACTTGGCATACTAACAAAGAACAAAACAGAGCAAAAAGTCCACAAATGTGAAAAATGTTTGAGTCTCCTTCCTTACCAACTCCATTCAATCAGTCTCACCCCACCACGTGAGTGTTTTTGTTGTTTTGGGGTTGTTTGTCTTCTTTTCTGAAGATAGGTTTCCCTCTGTAGACCAGGCTGTCCTCAAAGTCACAGAGATCTGTCTGCCTCTGCCTCCTGAGTGCTGGGATTAAAGATCTTTGCCACAGAGCCTCTGTCTCTCTCTCTCTCTCTCTCCCTCCCTCCCTCCCTCCCTCTCTCTCTCTCTCTCTCTCTCTCTCTCTCTCTCTCTCTCCCTCCCTCCCTCCCTCCCTCCCTCCCTTCCTTCCTTTCTTGCTTTTGGTTTCTTTGAGACAGGGTTTCTATGTTCAGCCCAAGCTGTCCTGGAACTCATAGAGATCCAACCTGCTTCTGCTTCCCAAGTGCTAAGGTTAAAGGTGTGCACCACTGCACGGCTTAAAAATTTATTTTATAAAGTATTGTGTGAGTGTGTGTGTGTGTGCAATTCATGGAGACCTAGGGAAGGCATTGGGTGTCCTCTTCCATCTCTCCCAATCTTACTCCTTTGGGTTAGGGTTTCCCCCTGAACCTAACACTATGGTTCTTTGGCTAGAGGCCACCTTGAGGGAGCTGATCCTCTCCTTTTACCATGTGGGTTCCAGGCGTATGTGCCATCTTGCTGACACACATGTGGGAGTCAGGAGACAGCCTCAGATGCTGCTCCCCACTGGCTGGCTGGCTGCAGGCTTCCAGAGGGCTGGGGTTCTCCTTTCTCTGCCTTGCATCTCGAGTTGGAGGTCTGGGATCACACCTCTGAGGACTGAACTTAGGGCCTCTTGCACGTTAAAGGTTCAGCCACTGTGTGACATCTGAAACTCTTGTTTCACCATTTTTAGCAAACAGCTCTGGCCCTTCATGCCTAGGAGATATGGTCTTAAAATTAAGTGTGTCCTGAACCCATTCACACAAGTATTATAGCTCTTTCTCCTTCCTAGCCTCCCTGAATCTGCTATGTGTGCCCCTCCCCCTGGCTGAGCCTCTGTTCTCCTTGTATGGACTTGCTAATGTGAGCAATTCCCTCCCTTATGCTAGATATGACACGTCTATTAACCTTACCTGTCACTGCCATTGTAACAGCAGATGGTTACATCACTGCCAATGCAAGGTGTGGTCAGTGAGTCTCGAAGTCTTCCGTCCTAGGGACCTTTACCCCTCCCACCGGTCACTCGGGCACTGGAGTCACATACAAGGCCTGACGGATGCCATCTTGAATCACTGGGGCCATTGTACCCTCTGTGGTGCTTCTTCTGGGTCCTGATAGTCTTGTTGGAAGTTTGTGTTTCTGCTCATGGGATCAGCGAGATGTCAAGACCCTCACCAGAACTATAAGGAGTAGCAGGGTTAGCTCTCACCCCCACCATCCCAACCAAGTGGTGCTCAGGGCGCTGGGATGAGGGGCCTCTTGTCTCAAATGGGCATCCCTACTCACATGGCTTTCACGTGTCTCCTGGTTCTCCTCTCACTCCCCAGTCTCCACCCTGGAAGCCTTCCTGGCCGATTCTGCTTAGCTCCACCGCCCTTTAGCATTGGTCAACGTGTGCATTAAACTCACGGAGCAAGCATGAGGCTCTGCGTTTGGGTCCCTAGCACACACAGAAAGGCCAGGGCATCTGTAACCCTGGTGGGGGTTGTAGATGTAAGCAGACACTTACTGCTTACGGTGGGAACTTACTGGCCAACTAATCTGCCAGTCAGTGAGCTCCAGGTTCAGTGAAGGACCCTGTTTCAAAAAAAAAAAAATAAGGTGAGGAGAGGTTCGACAGCTAGCATCGATGTCTCACTGCCACATGTGCGCGCACACACATACACAGGCACACAATGCACATACACACATGTGAATACACATACACACAGCCATAAACACGCATGCATGCATGCACGCACATAAATGCACACAGATGCATGCATGCACATACACACATGTGTACACACACAGGCACATGTTCACACACACATGCGCCCATGAGGCAAGTGTCGTATCGGGTCTTGAGAAGAGGGTCAGACTGAACACTGCTGGGAGCTGACTGGATAAATGGTAGGGTATCCACGCCAGGTGCCCCCTACAGCCCACAGGCACTAACGCTGGGGTGGCACCACACCCGCTTCTAGGTAAGAACCTGGAAGACACACAGCAGAAGGCAGGAAAGATGGAAGATGTGCTACAGTTTTTCTTTTTCAAAGGTAAGGAAGGCCAGCGGTGGTGGGGCTCGCCTCTGAGAGCAACACAATTGGGGGGGCGTGTACTGCCAAGGCTGGGAGAGCCTAAATTCCAGGCTAGCCTGGATTATGTAAATAAACCAACTAAGCCCTGACATTGTCTCCCCCACCACACACACACACACACACACACACACACACACACACACACACACACACACACACACGGGATATAACCCCAGAACTTGGGAGTCAGATCTAGGAGAAGTCAGGGGTGGGGGGGTTCAAACTGAGCCTGGCCTACACAGCAAGACCCTGTCTCAGACAAATGCAAACCAGGAGGAAGCACGGCCACCTCCTGAGTGAGGAGAGGGACAGGAGGGTGGCAGGGGACTTCTCCGTGTGCCTTTGCACTGTGTGGGTTCTGCTCTGTGGACACCAGTTACCTGTTTCTCAATGGTCCTGTGCCTGCATTGCTCTGACACTACTCGGGGTGACTCTGTGCTGTCCCCCAGTGCCTCCTGCCTTCCTGCCTGCTCCCCAGTCACTCCTATGCCAAGCCAAAGACTCCTTGCCCAGGACGGCACATTCCAGCATCCTTATTTTAAAACTCTGAATCTCATCTTCTCCTCTCCCGTTCTCCAGTGCTCCCAGGGTCCTCAGAGGGGACCGAGCGGACCGGGCAGACCTGCTCTTGAGTTTCCTTTGTACGCAAACATCTCACGTCTGTCACTGTTGCTGTGATGGAACACGGTGACCAAAGCAAGACGGGGAGGAAAGGGTTTATTTGGGTCACACCTCCACGTCACTGTTCATCACTGAACACAGACAGGACAGGAACTCATGCAGGACTGGAACCTGGAGACAGGCAGAAACCAGGGAGGGCACTGCTTACTGGCTTGTTCCCATGGCTGGCTCAGCCTGCTTTCTTATAGGGCCAGCAGGCAGGAAATGGCACCATCCATCATGGCTGGGTCCCATCAATCACTAAGAAAATGCCCTACAGACTTGCCCGCAGCCCAGTCTTATGGAGGCACTTTCTTAACTGAGGCTCCCTCCTCTCAGATGACTCTAGACTGTGTCAAATTGACGTAAAACCAGCCAGGACACACTCTCTCTGTTCAAGTCTTCTTCACACAGTCTGGCTAAGAACTACCTGCCACTCACAGATTTCTTTGGCCACCTCTTCTCTTTCTGGGACACAAAATAATCTGTGTATGATTTCACAGTCAAATGTGCATTTTTTAGAGCACCTCAGCCTTCTTGAGGTATCTGTCTGTCGCAGAAGTCTGTGCCTTGGAATCCTGCCTACATTGGTATCAAAACATCTGCATCTGACTTTGGAAAGTCTTACTCCAGACCCTCAGCAGCTCTCAGGTAGAGACCACAGAGACTGCTTGGCTGGACTCCCTCTCGAGGCTGCACCCCTCAAAGCTCACCCCTCCAGCATGAAGCCAGCTGTCCTTAAGGCACAGTGAACTCTGCCCCTCCATGGCTGGAACCCATTTAGAACAATACAGGGTAAAATGCTACAGTTGGTCGGGTGTGTGGTGTCTGCCTGGAATCCCAGTGCTCAGAAGAAGCAGGAGGATCAGGAGTTCAAGGCCAGCCTAAGTAATACAGCAAGTTTGAAGTCAACCTGGACTATATGAGATCCTGTCTCAAAAACCAAGCAAACAACCAAAACCAGCTTCTCCCAGACTCTTCTCCTATGCCTCAGCCACGCCACATGTCTCATTCTCCATCGCTCTGCCTCCCCGCTTTAACTAAATATCTATCACAGGCATTCCCAGGCACGCTGTGTAATGCACAGCTCTCTGCTTTTGATTCTGCTGTGCATCAGCTGGCCTTGTCCAGGACCTTGCTTGGGGTTGGTCACCTTTTCCAAGAAAGTTTCGGTGAGTTCCACCCCCAGTCAGGCTGACTCGATTCTCCTAGTTTCTCTTTGAGTGCTAGGCTTCTCTTTGCTCTTATCACGTGCAGGGCAGACATCACTCGCTCTTCTCAGCTGCTGTTCTCCTGTCCCTTTCTCCATGCCCCCTGTCCAGTTGACAATGCACCCAGGCTCAGGAGGAATCTTCTTCTAAATACTCATGTGCATCCTGTTCCCACCTGACGGTCTTCCCGCCTCCCTTTAGCCTTCCTCTCTTCTCTGGCAAATGAGAAAGCTGAAGGCATTTCTGACGGGGCTCCTGAGAAATGCCTTTCTTTCCTGGTAAGTGATAAGGTCCACGCTCTCCTTGGCCTTCCCCTTTCTGCCTTGAGCAAAATTGTAGCAGGGTCCACGGCAGCCATCTTGAGACCATTAGGCAACAAGGCTTCCCACTGAGTTAGCATGGCATGGCAGGAAGGGGAAAAAAAACTTAAACAATTTTTAAAGGTTTATTAAAACAGTTTTTAAAAGATACATGTGAACAGGTGCCAGTGAAGTCCAGAAGAAGCTGTTGGATCCCCTGAAACTGAGTTAGAGGTGGTTGTGAATTGCTCAGTGTGGGTGCTGGGAATTGAACTCAGAGATCTCGGGGAGCAGTACATGCTCTTGGTTGCTGAGCTACCTCTCCAGTTCAACACCCTTCCACCAAATCTTGTCTCGCACCTCCAGACTTCCTGCTGTGTGAACTTGATGAAAGCAGATGTCTCCACTGTCATGGGAGGTCATGTGCAAACCACCTCAGAGCTAAGCTTGGCAGCCCACGCTGCAATCCCAGAACTTCAAAGTCTGAGGCAGGAGTTTGAGTCCCACCTAGGACTACATAGTAAGTTCCAGGCCAGCCTGAGCTGTAATGTGAGACTACCCCCCCCCCAAAAGAAGTCTGTTTCCACAGCTAGAGACAGACCTGACACACATTCCATAAATGAAGGCTCAGGGGATGAACCTCCCCCTGACGATTGTGAGTCAAGGGGACAGGTTCCATGGTGTCCCAGCTTTCCTGTCTCTACAGCTTAGCCAGCTGGCCCCTCTTTCTCCACCTGCTTCCCCACCCTCTCCCGGGGAGTTCTCACTGTGGAGAACTCAGCTCGGCTATGCTGAGACGACACCATCATGTCCTCTCGATACCTGTGGCCAGAAAGGGGGACACACCGCAGGAACTGCAGCCTCAAGGCTCCTCCCTCTTGGCATGTTGGTTTAGTTTTCTACTTCTCTGGGAATCTCACCATCTTTAAGAAGAGAAGTTCTAGGGATGGAGGGATGGCCCAGCAGTTAAGAACCTGAGTTCTAGGGATGGAGAGTTGGCCCAGCAGTTAAGAACCTGAGTTCTAGGGATGGAGAGTTGGCCCAGCAGTTAAGAACCCGAGGAATTGGGTTCCATTCTCAGCACTTACTAGACGGTTCTATAACTCCAATTTCAGAGATCCAGCACCCTTTTCTGGCCTTGGTGGGCACCAGGCACGTGCATGGTACACAAACGTTCGTACAGGCAACGCACCCACACACATAAATTTAATTAAAAATAATAATAGGAGCTCCAGCCAGGCATGGTGGTACATACCTATAATCTCAACACTCGGGAGATAAAAGAAACAGAATTAGTAGTTCAAGGTCATCCTTAGGAATTTAGTAAGTTCAAGACCAACCTGGAGTACATGAGACCCTATCTCAAAAATGCAGCAGCAACAACACACTCACACACACACACACACACACACACACACACTCACACACACACACACCAAAATAAATACATAAACAAATAAAAGCCATTCAAAAGATAAATAAATAAACAAATAAAAGCCATTCAAAAGCCCCTGCTTTCATGCCCATCCCCTAGGCTCAGCCAAGTACAGACCCCCAGGGAGCAGAGAGACCTGTAGTGAGCCCCTCCCACCAGCCCCACCTCATCTCTTCCCAGGGCTCTGCTGGAGAGATAGTTCTGGAATGAACGGAACTGAGTCTTACTCATTAAATAATAGATGTAGCTACTTAAGGAACAAAACGTACTTTTCAGATCTAATCAATGCTGAGTCCGCACACCACTGGTAGCACTTTGTATTGATTACCAAATGCTGAAGGAAGACCTACAAAGTGTCACTCAGGGACAGCTGTTCACCAAGTTGCCTACTTTGATAGGTGACTTTGCCTAGGGGCTCTCAGGATAACCTTGAACCTCCTCCCCCAAGCCTACGGATAACGGCCCACCTCCATGTGGTCCCGAGGCAGGGCCCCCCAGGTGCTCTCCAATGTCCCTGCCCATTAGGCTTCAAGTGTGTCCCAAAGTCATTGCTTCTGTCCCTCAACCTATTTGTAACTGTCACTGTGTAATTTAACAACAATGGAAATGAAATAGGACTAGGTGTAGATTTTTCCTTTTTCTAAAGAGAGAAAGAAGTTAAATCCAACCAGCATTCCATGAAGGGTTTAGCAATGGCAGACCACAGAAACAATTGAGTTAGGCCTGGAATTGATGGGGGGGGGCAGCGTATGGCGCCGGTGGAGGGTGGAGCTGGCAGGCCCTGAGACGCCTCTCAGCCTCTCAGACAGCTTCTCCAGAGCCCAAAGCTGGAACTCAATGAAGCCAGGAAGTCTCAGGTTGGTTCATGGGAAACAAAACCATTCAGGGCTCAGAAGGGCTTCGTGCACCAGTGTACCCAAAGGCGGACAAAGAAAGTAAAAAGTCTACATTGTGTTGTTTTTGATGAGCCACACCCAGGACCTCACACAAGCTAGGCACAAACTCAAGGGTGTACCCCTGAGGTACACTCACGCCATGATGAACCCCTCTCTGTGTTCCTGTTCCTTCCCTAGAGGGTTTTACTGGTGCCTAGGAATTACACAAAACCTTGGAACACACGGCAAGATTTTTATCACATCTCTTTTACCGGGAGGCACGTGTGCGGAAGTCAGAAAAGGACCCAGCCATTCTCTCCCTCCGCATGTGGGGCCCTGGAGTCAAGCTCGGTCTTCAGGCTTGGTAGAAAACGCTTCTGTATCCACGGAGCCGTCTCATGGGCCCTCATTATGAGATGACGATGATTATCTTGCTGGTTTGTTGGTTTGGTTTTCGAGGCAGGGTTTCTCTATGTAACCCTGCTTGTCCTGGAACTCATTCTATCGACCTGGCTAATATACAGAGATCCGCCCGCCTCTGCCTCCTGAGTCCTGAGATTAAAGGTGTGCGCCGCTACCAGGCGTGAGATTTTTGTAAACGTGTATACTGTGCTCTGATTGTAGTCACACCTCCTCATTATCCTTTCTTCCCCCACCCCTGTACCCTTGCTGACTCCCTCTCATCTCCCCAAATCACCCTCTTCTAGTTTGCCAAATTCTTTTAAAATCTAGGTTCTGCATATGGAAGAAAACTCTGTTCTGTCTGTCTTTCTGGGTCCGGCTTATTCCACTTAGCTCGATGACTCCCAGCTCCATCTCGTTTCCCAAAAAAGACATGATTTCAGTCCTCACTGCAGCTGAGTTAAAACTCCATAGTGTTGTTCTTTTGTAAAAGTTTAAAAACTAGAAAAAGGAAAGGCGAAAGGCGCGAGATGGAACCGGGGCCGGCGCGATACAGCACGAGCCAAGGAGAGCACTTTAACCTGGTTTATTACAGCGGCGGGCGAGCGAGACGGGGGAGACAGGCATGAGAAACCAGAAGAAGTGGGAAGAGAGAAAGAGAATTCAGAGTGTAAGAGAATGGAGAGGAAGGGAGCATAGAGAGGTAAGAGATCGTAAGAGGGCAGGGTCTGACTCCTAAAGGGGTCCTTTGCACCTGCGTGCAGGCTGCACTCATGGAACCCTGGGCTGACCAGAGTGCTGCCTGATTGCATTCTGCCAGGTGACCGGGGCAGGCCAGCATAATGCCTGAACCTTTCATAGTGTGTTCATATTGTGTATGCACTGATGGATGGCTGAGCTGATGCCATTTACTTGGCTGTGGTGAATATTGCTACAGTGAGCGTGTGTGTGCACAGTCTCTCCTGGGTGTGCTGACTTTCGATGTGTGAACCCCATTCTAGCCAGCTAATGGCAAGTCTTGATGGTGTGTGTGTGTGTGTGTGTGTGTGTGTGTGTGTGTGTGCCAATCAAGTCCCACTGGGAGTCTCCATTGCCTTGTGGACTGCCTTCTGATCTACCCCAGAGGACCATGGATCTGACGTGGGATGCACCATTGGTCAGCTAAGTGCCCGGCACCAGCATAAACTCTAATTCCGGACCCGCAAGACGGTGACATAATGATGCTCCATGGTGCCAACCACTGAAGCCAGCTAGAAACCTCAGAGCCATCCTCCACATCTCCCTCTTCTGCCCAGTCCGTCACTGGAGCCCGAAGACCTCCACCCTCGCCACAGGACTCTCCTGAGCCGTGCCCTGAGACCTTCCTTACACCCGACCCTGCTGCCTGTGTTCCTGCCTTCGCCCGAGGACGCAGGCTCCTCCAGCAGCAGAGGACGAAAGACGTGAATCCAACCTGTCACTCTTTCGTTTAAAAGCATTTCATAATTCTCCAAACATTACACACACAGAGCACTCCAGCCTCATCGGCAGCCGGCAGGATGCACTCTGTCCCTTCCTGCCTCAGGACCTTGGCACTGTCCCTGCCACTTAGAACAGTCCTTATCCATCCTGACCCCATTAATTCCCACTCATCCTTCAAGAAGTTCTCTTGGGAATGTTTTCTCTTTCACTTAAATTTGTAAAACAAAAACAAAAACCATCCAGCCCTGTCTACATACCAAGCATTGTTTCCAACATTGAAAACGTAACAACAAACAAAGAATGATCCCTGCCCTCATAAAGATTATATCCTATGCCTGGGGGTGTGGCTCAATGGCAGAGTACTTGCTCAGCCTGTACATAGCCCTGGGTTCCAACATAGGCAACACACACACACACACACACACACACAAACATGGGGGAGGGGGGTTGTATCCTAGTCAGGGAGAAAAATAAATATTAAATAAATACAATTTTTCAGATGATACCAATGAAAGTATTTTCTGTTATAACAAAAGACTGTTATAATAAATAAATTATTAGAAGAAATAACTTTTTTTTTTCCTGGTGACAGGGTTTCTCTGTGTAACAGCTTTGACTGTCCTGGAACTCGCTCTGTAGATCAGGCTGGCCTTGAACTCACAGATTCACCTGTTGCTGCCTCCTGAATGCTGGGATTAAAGCAGTGCACCATAAGTATGAATTTGCTTGCTTAATAATCCCAGTTTCAAAAGCCAAGACAAGAGGATCTCTGTAAATTCCAGCACAGATTGAGCTACATATCAAGCTTAAATTTAAGGACATCCTGGGCTACACAGTGAGACTTAAGTTTAAGGACATCCTGGGCTACACAGTGAGACTTTGTCTTAAAAAAAGAGAGAGATCTAGGGGTATAGCTCAGTTTGTAGGGTGATTGCCTATTACGCATGAGGTCCTGGGTTCAGTCCCTAACACCACATAAAAAGATAAAAACAAAAATTAGCAGCAGCCAAGCAGATGTAGTGGTTCACTCTTGAATCCCATTACTTGGAAGATAGAGGCAGACGAAGAGAAAGCTATGTACTTATCTGCATGGCTATTAAAACTGATCTCTAGAATATTTTGTCTGTTGCACAATTTTGATAATGTGACTTGTGACTCCAGTCAGTTCTCCCAAATTAAAGAATAAGAGAGAACACAAGGAGACTGTCACAGACATACCTCAGTACTGACATGAAAAGGTTCACACGTCTATAATTCATATATATACCAAACTCTCACCTCCTCCTCTCATAGTCTTCTCTCTCTCTCTCTCTCTCTCTCTCTCTCTCTCTCTCTCTCTCTCTCTCTCTCTCTCTCTCTCTCTCTACACACACACACACACATGTTTACACACACATGCACACACACACGTGCGCACACACAGAGAATCATAAACACAGAGACAAGAGTTGGATACCCACACACGCACCTCCTCTCGCCCCAATAGCCTGCCCTTGCCCACTGGAGACACAGCCTTCCTCCTCCCTAGACATCATCACTTAGATGATAATCAGCAGCAGGGGTGGCAACAGAGGTCCCAAATTCTGCCCCCTCCCCCAGTTACCCAGCAACATGAGTCCTGGCAGAGGCTGAGGTTAAATTAAAATAGAGATGAAGGGACATTGTAATTTTGTGGTCACTCTCTACCCTGACCTCTACTCGCTCCCCAGGCCCCAAGCTCAGCACCTCACTCAACACCCATCCCCTCAGAGCCCCAGGCAAGCCACTTACCCACATTCTCAAGAGGGCCCACACTGTCCCCAATCCCAGGCAGCACCCTACATCCTCTCTTAGACAGCCCACCTCAGGTTTAACACAGACATAGTCATGAGAAAGTATCACACACACACTCACACACACACACACACACACACACACGCAAGTATCCACATTTCCCACACAGCACACAATCCTCTTACACCCCAAACCACAGGCTTCCACACAAGCTTATCCCCTAGTGCATGCTGACACAGCTCAGACACCAACTTAGGGGAAGATGGTAGCATCTGGATGTGAGACGCGGGTCCCAGCCTCCTCCACTCCCACACAAACCTGGGTCTATGTCCTGCCTTCTCTCCCCACCACTAAAGAAGTGACTCACTCTACCTACACCCAGGCCAGCCCTGCAAGAAGATGTCCCCCACCCCTAGCTCAGGCTGCCCTCCAAGCCTCCCGACGGTGCATGGCCACCTGTCACCACCTGCTACACTGACAGATCCTCCAAGGCAAGTCCAAAGTCTACAAGGACAATGTCCTTCCTGATCCTGCCTGGCAAGTCATGGGACTTACGGTGACGTCAGGGGACATCAGGAACCCAAGGAGCACTGAGCCTCTGAGCCTGGACAGAGTGCGTAGCTGACTGCTTGGGCCTGTGTAGGCCTGGCACCTCTGAGGCACAGCTGGCTCTGGTAGCAATGACTGCGGCTGCAGGGCATTGGGGCAGCCCACAAAAGAGTCTCCCATTGCCGTGGGACGTGAGGAGAGAGCAAAGATGTCCTCTGTCCTGGATTTAGAGCTTGATTTCTGCTGCTCTCCCGGTGACAAGGCCAAGGAACCAATGGAGAATCCTGTCTGAGAGGCTGGGGACACAGCTCGGTTGGTAGAGTGCTTGCCTGGCATGCACCAAGCCCTAGGTTGGATCCCACTCTTGGGAAGTTGAGGCAGGCAAATAAGAAGGTCATCCTCCCAAAACAAAACAAAGGCAGTCAATCAAAGCCAGCATCCCTCCACCTCTGAGGATCTTGGTAGCTTCTCTTCTCTCTGAACCCCAGGAATTAAGGGAACCAGTCAGCAGATCCCTGCCAGGGCAGACACCAAGGCTGAGCAGCCCTGAGGCCATCAACCTCAGGCTCGGGGTGAGATGGGGCCATGGAGAAGAAAGAAAACGAGAGTATCTGTTCCCACCCCCTGACCTGTCATCTCCACCCAGGTCCATCCCTTGAGAGGTGACTATTTACAGGGACGAGGTGTGGTCAGACCTGAGGTTACAGACCTGCTGCCACAGCCTGCCCAGTCCCCAAGCCAGCCCTGCCAGAGGATGGTCTGTGGAGCTGAAGGTGGCAGTTTGCTGCCTGGAGACCAGTGTGCAGTGGGGGGGGGGGGCAGGCCCAACTGTGCAGTGAGCAGAAGTGGCCAGGACTGCGATGGGAGAGATGCCTTGGGCGGAGGGAGGAGATCAGCCCGCCCCATAAAAGACAATTTCATTCAAGCAACAAGAATCAGCGGAGGGCTGACCCTGCATCTGCACTGTGCCGGGTGCCAGGGTGACAGAGACACAAGCAATGTGTTCTCTGTCTCCAAAGAGCTGACACTATAATGAAATTATAACAATAACAGCCAGCACCAACATCATGTTTATGATGTGCTGAGCCCTGTTCTCAGAATTTTACGAGTCATTTGATCTTGAAGTCAACATTCTAAACTATATATTATTACCACTCTGATTTCAAAGATGGTAGACCTGGAAACACAGAAAGGGTGAGTAGCCTGCCCAACACCACATGGCGAGGGAATAAGGCTCCCATCTAGTGATAGTGGGTCCCTGAATGCCCATCCCCCCTGGCTATGGAAGCCCTAGATGACCACTCTTCAAACTTAGGTTAAGTTCACTGTGAAACCAAACTGAGCATCTTGCTGGGACTGGAAATACACCATCAGTGAGGCTGGGGTCTTGATCCAAGAAGCTCTCTGACCAGTGAGTGACCTCATCCAAGCACAAAGATGTCACTCATAAGAAGACTTATCTAGAAACCACGTGAGATGCTTTGAGTTTCAAGGGAAGGAACTACACTGATGTCAATAGAGGGCTGGAGAGATGGCTCAGATATTAAAGGCACTGGCTGCTCTTGCAGAGAACACAGGTTCAATTCCCAGCACCCACCTGGAGGCTCACAGTTGACTGTAACTCCAGTTCCAGGAGATCTGACAGTCTTTTCTGGCCTCTATGTCACCAGGAAATCACATACAAGCACATACATGCAGGTAAACATTCACAGACAAAAAATAAAAACAAATCAGTCAATAAAAGACAAATTGTCACCATCAATAGAGCAGAAAGGCAACTCAAACAATAGGGGGACATGGGCAAGCAGGGTATGATGCTGCCTGTGACCCCAGCACTCAGGAGTTGGAGGCAGAAAGACAGGAATTCAAGGTCATATTGAACATACTGAATTTGAAGTAAGTCTAGGCTACAGGAGACCCTGAAAGAGAAGGGGAGAAGAGGTTACCTTACAAATCACATGGCAGATGAAGGATTGATTTTGAAGACAGAATTCTGTGACGGGGAGCACATGTCATGGTGTGATGTGAAGTCAGAGGACTGCAAGCTTGATGTTCCCTTTCACTTTTACGTAGGTCCCAGGGATTGAACTCCGGACCTCAGGCTTGCATGACTAGAAAACTTTTTTTTTAAACCCACTGAATCATTTCACTGACCCCATAGAGAAAACTCCTAAATCTCAACAAGACAAGAAATAAATGAAATTCATTCAAAGACAAGCAAAAGACTTGAGAGACATTTCTCCGAAGAAGATGTAAAGGTCTTGGCTATTCCTAGTCATCAGGAAAATGCGTATCCAAAGCCTTTGTGAGGTGAATAAGTGGCTGCTGGCCCCAAACAAGCACTGGTGTGAGTCTGTGGAATCAGACCCTGCATGCAAATGGTAAGAAAGTGAGATGGTACCCTTCATGGAAGCAGTGTGGTGGTTATCACTCAAAACAGAACCGCCAAGTAACTCGGGAAATCCATTCCTGGCCTCTATGGCTCCCAAGAATTAGAATCAAGATCTCAGTGAGATGTTTGTATATTCACCTGGGTTCAGTCAATATCATCCACAATTGTAGAAAAGTAGATGAAACTCCAGTGTCCACAGAAGAATGCACGGATAAGCAACCCTTGGTTCGTTCCATACAGGGAAATGTTCCTCGGCCTTAAAAGGCGTGGACTTCCAACTCCAGCCACTACTCAGGGCAGCCTTGAGGGCAGTGCGCCACAAATGCAAGCTGCTCACACGCAGGCAATATTGAGCGCTTCCACAACTGGAACTGGACTAGTGGGGATCAGAGGCAAACGGAAGGGCAGAGGGTTTCCAGGGCTGCAGGAGAGGTGTGTTGAATGGGTAAAGTTTCAGTTTCATAAGACGGAGAGTTCTGGAAATGGAGGACGGACAATAAGGGTTAACACAGTATGAACATGCTGATTACCACTGGTACCATGCACTTGAAAATGGTTATCCTGGCAAATTTTGTTATGTGTACTTAACCACAATAAAAAAGACTGTTTTTAAGCGAAGGGCAAACTGTAACTCCAAAACCAGACAGGCTCAAAGGAGACAACTCCCTGGGGCAGGGACAAGACTGAGGCAAGGGACAAGCCAACACCAGGGAAAGCCTGAGAAAGAGCTGGCTTCAGTAATTACACCCGGCGGTGGATGTAACATCCCCACTTGGGGAACCCATTCCTCACCTGCCTAGTGGGGCCAATAAAACCTGCCCTTCCAAGCCCATCAAAACTGTGTGTTCCCAGCTGGGAAGACAAGAGGTGAACACCATTTGAAAAATAGAGGCTGGAAAGATGGCTCAGAAAATACCTGCCATGCAAGCATGAGGACCTGAGTTCAAATCCCAATAACCTAAACAAAAAGCTCGTGGAGAGAGGCACCGATACACAGGCAGATCCTTGAAGATCGTTGGCAGAAGGAAGAGCTTCAGGTCCAATGAGAGACTCCACAGAAAAAATAAAATTGAAGCCAGGCATGGTGGTGGTGCATGCCTTTAATTTCAGCCCTTGGGAGGCAGAGGCAGGCAGATCTCTGTGTATTCAAGGCCAGCCTGGTCTGCAAAGAGAGTTCCAGGTCAGCCAGGACTACATCGTGAGACCCTGTATCTAAATAAATAAGAAAATAAAGATGGAGGACTGGTGAGATGGTTCAGCTGATGTGGGACCCTTGCCACTGTCTGACAACTTGAGTTTGATCCTGGGAACGTATATGCACTTATACGTTAGTTAATAATTAATCAATGTTTTAAAAGAAAAAAGCGATTGAGAAAAAGATACCCAACACTGATCTCTAGTCTACACACACACACACACACACACACACACACACACACACTGGTGGGGTGGGATGAGAATGATCAAGGATGCAACAACCTCTGCTCCACCCCCACCGGATACATATGCACAAGTACCCACAGGCGCACACATGCATCAGAAGTTGGGGAGATAGCCAAGTGTAAGCCTGAGGGCATGAATTTTATCCTGGGTAACCTTGGTGTCCTGGCTTGTGCTAGGGAGATAGAAGCCACTCTTGGAATTGAGGGAGAAATGTTTTATTTATTTAGTTGTTTATTGATTTCGCTACTTAGTTAGCTATTTTGAGACAGAATCTTGCTATGAAACCCAGACTGGTCTCAAAACTCATTGTCAATACACCCCTGCCTCAGTCTTAGCGCTGGGATAAGTGTGCTCCAGACAGGACACCTAACTCTAGGAAAGCTTTGTCTGTTTTTTCAGACAAGGTCTCACCATGTGGCCCTGGCTATCCTGGACTTGCCATGTAGGCCAGGCTGGCCTTGAACTCACAAAGATCTGCTTGTGTCTGCCTCCGAGTGCTGGGATTAAAGGCGTGCGCCATCACACCCAGCTTGCAGCAATATTTTTATTTGAACACTCAGACGTTGTGATGAACTCTCTCGATCAAAAGCAGGAAAGGGCCTGAGACTGACATCCTTCTCGTGCCCGCCTTCTTGTTCATGTCACCCTCTCCATCCCCTCCCCTCCTCCAGGGCTGTCAGAGGCCTTGGTCTGACTACAGAGAGGCTATGGACATAGCAGGCCAGGCAGGGGCTGATGGTCCAGACTGGATGAGCTCAGAGCGGCCAGATTCTTACGAGGAGGAAGAGAAGGGGATGTGGGCTGGATGTGATAGCCCTCAAAAGCTCACTGGAAGGTCAACCGAGCCGGTCCTGTTGGGGACATGGGAAGGACAGGGCTCATCACAGTGACCAAAGCGTTGAGAGGAATACCTTCTCCACAAACCTACTGTATGGGCTACATAACATGCCCAGCACTATTAGTCCTTGTCACCCTGCTTCCTAAGGCTAAGGACCGGAGATGGAGAGCAGGGAAAAGAGGAGCCTGTGAGGTGAGCGGGAGACAGGGGACCTCCGAGCCTAGCGATGGTGTGAATGCAGGCTGTAAGTAGCAATGCCTACTTTCCTCGGGCCCTAAGATACAACCCCACTTGCCTGGGCATCACCCTTCCATGGTGCGCATCCCAGGCCTGGCACGATTTTTCTTTGGATTGCTCTCTTGTCAGAGTGAGGGGCGGCACCCTAGACTTTACTCTCCCTCGGAGCTCACAAGTTCTCTGGGCTCTCTGCCATTAAACACACGAAATCCTCTTCATGGCTCACGGCCAGAGAGCACAGCTCTGGGGTAGAGATAGCCCCTGAGGGGATGAATTCCAAGGAAGCCTCCAGCCTTGCCTAGGGCCAGGCGACTGCTCTGTCACCTCCTTATACCCACCCACACACTCATCTTCACGGATACCACCTTCTGGGGCTGCTGGTGACCTAACAGGTAATTATTAACCCTCTGGAAAGCACTGGCCCTTTAAGGCTGCCATGGGAAGAGATGACAAAATCACCCCACTGGACTTTGTGCCTTGAGGCTGGTGGGGCAACAGGGCCTGAGAGCCCTGCTGGGAAGGCTTGAGGCCCACTCCGAGAGGAAGGGCAGCTGTATAGACTCTTCATCCTACTGCCTCTACACGGTTGCCCTGCAAAGGAGGGTGGGTGTAACCCAGCTTTCCACAGTTCCAGAGTCATGAGCTCTCCCTGGACACCCTCTCTGCCCACTGACCAGGCCATGCTCACACCTTCCCTCTCTCCAACAAGGCTCTCAGCCTGGGCATGTTTCCAGTCACTGTGAAAAGGGGAGCCTTGTCAAGGAGGGACATCCCAGCTATGCTAAGTATCCACCCCAGACTCCCAGGTGCTAGGTGACAAAAAAGAGCTCTGGGCTAGCAAAGGGACTGACAGACAGGTAGGCAATCAATGAGAGAGTACAGGTAGGCTCAGCCCCCAGGGGTGTGGCGGAGCCTTAACTGTGCCTTGCTCCGGCTCTGAGCCCTGCACATCTGTCTCCAGGGAAAGGACCTCTCATGGTGAGTCAGTATTCGTGATTCTGACAACTATGGGAGCAGGGCTGGAGAAGGCACATGAGAGGGTCACCAGGCAGGCCTTGACAAACCGAGATGAACTCAAGCTCTCCCCACAAAAGGTCAAATAAGGATTTGTCAAGGTATTCAGGTGCCGCTGCCTCTCTGAGAGTTCTTCTCTGGAATCCTAAGTGCTTGGGTGCCGCCCCGATATCTCTGACACCACCTTCACCTTAGAGTCAGATCAGGCTTGGAGTCTGACATGTTGGAGGCACACAGCGATCTGTTTTGGAGAGAATAAACAAATGAGCGTCAACTGTTTTGAATGACCAGATCTGCATAGAAGGAAATCCCAGGCCTGAGGCACAGCATTTGGGATTTGCCAAGGGGGATGGAGAGCTTAGTTTCCACACACACACACACACAAAGAATGAATCATCTTGTAAAAAATAAGCTGCCCCCTCCCCTGTCCCTTCGGTCCAGATCCCACAGGCTGATCAGCATCCCACTGTGCATTCTGGGGTGAGCGTTAGAAGGCTTGGTCTCTGTTTTGGCTGTGATTGAACACAGTCATCTGAAACCATCTAAGAGGATCAGTAAAGAAACCAAAATCATATTAACACACCAAAGATGGACGTGGGAATATATATACAATAGAATATTCTTAAGGGGGTTTCCAGAGGATGTGAGTTCTCAACTATAGAGCCAGGGCATTAGTCCCATCCATCCACTTATCCACCAAAATACCTACCTAGCCATCCACCCATCATTGACACCCTATCCAGCTACCTACCAGTCTACCCATATACCCAACCACTTATCCTCCCAGCCTTCCATCTTCCTATCTTCCAATCTACCAACCCACTGACCATCAATCCATCCATCCTCACTCATCCACCTGTCCAACAATCCAAACATACATCTAGCCACCAGTTCACCCATCTACCACTCACCCAATCATTCATTTATCCTTTCAACCATCCATCTTCCTATCACATATCCACCCACCCATCCAATCCACCACCCAGCAGTTCATATTCATTCATCAGTCTGTTAAGCAACCCATCCACCTATCATACATCCACCCATCTACCCACTCACACACTCATTTACCTTTCCTACCAACTAACCATCTATACCTTCCACACATCTGCTTATCTACTCACCCAACGATCCAAACACCCAACTATCCACATCTGCCTATTCATCCAACCATACATCCACCTATCCATCCCACCAGTCCACTGAAGCATTCATGTATGCATCCACAAACACACACCCATCCATCTACCCATCTGCTCCTGCATAGGTCCACTCATGCACCTATCAACCTAACTCAATCATCCACCCACCTGTCCATCCAACACCCACCCATCCATCCATCCATCCACCCACCCATCCACTAATCCATCCATCCATCCATCCACCCACCCACCCATCCATTCATCCATCATCCACCCACATATCCATTCATCCATCCATCCACCCATCCACTAATCCATCCATCCATCCATCCATCCATCCATCTATCTACCCATCCACTAATCCATCCATCTATCCACCCATCCACCTGTCCATCCATCATCTACCCATCCATCCATCATCCACCCATCCATCCATCCATCCATCCATCCATCCATCATCTACCCATCCATCCATCATCCACCCATCCATCCACCCATCCATAAAAACTTTTGACATTATCAAAAGTCTGACCTGATAATATGTTGACAAATGAGCATAATTGTTCTTACTGGGTAGCCAGTATCTAAACTCTGGTGGCCTCGAAGTCAGATTGTAGCTCACAAGCCAGAAATTGTAGTGAGGAGTGTCTCCTGTCTCAAGTCGGTCAGTCCTACAGGATTTCTCCACCCCAGGCACACCCCCAAATCTGCCAGGATCTCTTCTCCAGGAACAAGAAGAGGGAGAGAGGGAGGAGTTTGGGTGAAGCAGAAGACACCTGGCAGGCAGACAAGGTTAATGGTGACCTGTTGTTTTTCTAGGCTCTTAGTGACCTCACCTTTGACCAACAATTTCCTGGCACTGGCTCAGTCTGCCAAAGGGGAGGGGGGGCGGCAAAGAGACTCCAAGAGGAAGGTAAACAGCAGCCGAGGCCAAAGGTGGCCCTAGAAGGCAAGGGGCACATTCCAAAAAGTCTCCCAAGCCTGAGGCCTGCAGTAAAGCCCAAAGTCCATCAGGGAACACACACTTGCGTTGCAGTCGCAGACAATGCTATAAACACTCCATTGTTCAGGGATTACCCATGTTTAGGATGCCTCCACCTCCGAGAATGCCCCAATGCTCACTCCCACAGCCCCAAGTACCCCTTGTGCAGCAGGCCTGGAAGCAGCCGGGAGTCCTGCCTGGGCACTGCGTTTCCTCTTGTGTCTACCCTGCTCTAGAATCAACAGCACCTGCAGGCAGGAGACACTCCTCCCGGCACCCCAGACTCATGCTGTGGAGGAGTGGGGGAAGGGCGTCAGCCTTGCCGGATTGTCCTCCTGCTGGATACTTCAAAGGGAAGCCCCGGAATTCCCCAGCCAGCAGTCTGACTCCACTCTCTGCCACTCCCAGGCGTCACTGAAAAATGGAGAAGCACCTGTGCAGGACTGCTACAAGGAGGTAACATTTGCGACATAAGGGCAGCCTTCTTTATTTTGGTGGTGAATGTTTCTGCAGGTCACTGATAAGAGATGAAGGTCCGTGGAAGTCAGGGAGACAGAAGCGGGGGCTCCCTCGGCTCACCTTCCTCTTTTAACTCATCCTATGAGGTCAGCCCAGCCTTCTACACATGAGTTCCTCAGTGTTGGGGATGCAGATTCCTTAGAGACTCACGAACTAAGGACACGTTCCCCCAAAGAGCATTCTTTCACATACCGCCAAGACTGCAGACTGTCTCAGGGGGTCAGACAGCTGAACTAGAGAGGGCAGCCACAACCTTTAGATTATGTGTCTCATGGTCACAGCCCCAGGTATAGCCTGGACTTCCAAAACCAAACCTTACTCAGAATCTTGCAGAGTTCTATCCCTGAGGCCCCAGCAGAAAGACTCCTGTGACTTTCCCTGAGGCCCCTTTTGCTACCCTCTCCATTCCGTCACCCATCTCAACTCCTGTCCACAGCAATGCCTTGAGCTGGTGAATTCCATTCTGGTCTTCGAAAGTCAAGTAGAATCTTAGAGACCATCTGTACACACCTCATTATCTTTTCTGATGAGAACTGTAAATGACCCGAGGTAATGCTGACTCACTTAAAGTCACTGAGATAATCAGAATACAGTCAGGTGGCCTGGCCTGACTCTATCCCAGTCGCGTGTGAGTGTGCAGTGGACCTACTGTGCACCCCTGCAGGGCCTCACTAGGGAGAAGAGGAGTCACCTGGACTAAATGAGCTTCGGTTATAAATGGCCCAAGCGCGTCGAAAATCCTTGGAATGAGAAGTGCAAACAGGGTCACCAAGCTCCTGGTTACATAAGACATTTCAAAATAGCCAGAAGCTCAGCAAAGGCAGAGTTGGAGCTTTCATTCATTCATCCATCCATGCATTCATTCATCAAATGATTATGCCCCTAGCACCCGTGGGGACAAACAGCCAAGACAATCACCCAGACAAGTTTCCTGCCTCCAGAAAATCCCAAAAAGAAAAGCTGATTTTTAAACAAATCAAGTTTTGTGTGTGTGTGTGTGTGTGAGAGAGAGAGAGAGAGAGAGAGAGAGAGAGAGAGAGAGAGAGAGAGAGAGAATAAGTGCCCACAGAAGCCAGAAGCAGCATTTGATCCCCTGAAGCTGGAGCTACAGGCAGCTCTGGCTGCTGGGAACCTAACTCAGGACTTTGGGAGAAGCAGTCAGGCTCTTGAGTGTGAGCCCTGGTGATGCTAGGCTGTGGGGAAGGAGGTGCTCAAGGGCCTCTTTTAACTCATTCTAAAAAGCACAGTGAAGGGATCTGTGCAAGAGTGTGGAGGCAGAATGTTCCAGAAGGGAAGTTCCCAAGGCAGATGTGAAACAGATTGGTTCAAGGAAGCATGAGCTGGGCAAGGGTGTGAGTGAGCCCTTAAGAAAGCTGAAGCGAGCGTGAGGGCGGCTCTGGCCTGGCCATGTAGCAGGTGACAACTGATTCTGCAGTGAGAGAGGAACGAATTCCAGGGAAGTTCAGGAGACGCAGGGTGCATTTAGCAAATATTTCCTGACTCTCAGTCAATCACCTCAGCCAGGTTTGGTGGCACCAATGTGTGATTTGGGGATCATAAACTCAAAGCTAGCCTGGACTACATGAAGAGAGCATCTCAAACATTATCCCAAATCCCCAAAGACAGGTACTGATGTTCAGGGCCTCTTGATACCCTGTGGGGAAGGACAGTCCATCATGAGTGAAAAGCCCAGTGCTGTCAGCCTGCCGCTGCTGAGAGGAGCAAGGGCCAGGCAAGCCAGAGGGAACGAAAAAGCCACAGAGCTCAGGCCAGATGGTAACAAGAAAGGGACAAAGCATGAACTCTCTCTCTCTGTCCATCCATCCTTCCACCCATCTATCATCTATCTATCCATCTATCTTCTGTGTATCTATCACCTATCATCTATTTATCTATATAACTACCTATCTATACATCATCCATCATCTATCTATACATCCATCCATCAATCATCTATCTATAGATCCATCTATCTATCATCTATGTATCAATCTATCTATCACCTGTTTATCTCTATCTATCTATCTATCTATCTATCTATCTATCTATCTATCTATCTATCTATCTATCTGAGGGGGAGGATGTTTGAGATCATGCCTCAAGCAGCCAAGGCTGGCCTCAAACTTGCTATGTAGCTAAAGATGACCTCGAACTTCTAATCCTCCTTCCTCCACCTCCTGAGAACTGGGACCATAGGAACACACCATTACCACAACCAACTTGAAATTTTTTTTTGTTTTTCGAAACAGGGTTTCTCTGTGGCTTTGGAGGCTGTCCTGGAACTCGCTTGGTAGTCCAGGCTGGTCTCCAACTCACAGAGATCCACCTGCCTCTGCCTCCTGAGTGCTGGGATTAAAGGTGTGCGCCACCAACGCCCGGCTTGAAATTATTTTTGAAGCAGAGCAGACCCGGGGACTGCTGGTGGCTTTGCTTATAGGGGGCAGTGCAAAAGGAACATTCCCCATGAAAATGCTTCCCGTGGAAGCTTCACCCTGCACTACCATGCAGATGATAGTGGCATTGAAGGTGCGGGAGGGCCACAGGTATTTGAGGGACACCAAGCCGGACAAGTTGCCCCAAGGGGAAAGTTCTACATGCCGTTTGTTTACAGAACCTGTCCTGGGGCCAGAAAGGTAACTCAATGAACAAACCGCCTGTCTCGAAAACATGAGGCCAAGCTAAGAGCCCCAGCACCCACATAACAGTCGGGCATGGTCCTAAGCATACCACTTGGAGGAGGGGGTTAGAGAGATGCATCCCTGACACACACTGGCCAGCGAGTGCAGCCAACCAGCGATGCTGGGTTCCGTGTGAGAGAAAGCGGACAGCCACATGGGGTAGCGCACACCTTTAATCCCAGTACTGTGGTGGCAGAGGCAGCAGAGCTCTGGGCTTTGGCCAGCCTGGACTACATAGTAAGTTCCAGGCTAGTCAGGGCTATGAAGGGAGATGCTTTCTTTAAAAAAAAAAGGAGGGGTGGGGATGGCTCACTGGTTAAGAGCCCTGGCTGCTCTTCCAGAGGAAGCAGGTTCAATCCCAGCACCCAATGGCAGTTCACACCTGTCTGCAACTCAGTTAGTTCACACCCTCATACCTCACAGACATACATGCAGGCAAAACACCGGTAAGCATAACATTAAAATGAAAATAATTGTTGAAAGGCATATGTGGAGAGTAACAGTCTTGACCTCTGCCCTCCAGATCATATATGCGCATGTGCATCTGCACTCGTACAAACGCATGCACATACACACCCCTGAAGGAATGCAGAGGGTGCTGTATGTGGAGGAGGAGGAGGAGGAGGAGGAGGAGGAGGAGGAGGATGTGCAGAGGTGGAGCACTCCCAGGTAAATGACCACAGTGGCTCCCGTTGGGTTTTGCAGCCTGTGTGCAGCTGGTTGGGTTTCTCCGCACACAAGTCAGTGTGGCCAGGAGAAGGCCACGGAGGCAGCTGTCCCTGCCCTCCTGAGACTCCCACCTTCTTGTCTTCCGATGATCCATACCATTGGATTTTGATGTTGTTCACTTATTTTTTTTAACTCAAGAAGGAGTTCTTTCTTCCTGGAACAAACGTCCCAGCTGGGATCACATGCAACACTGCTTCCCAGGACTACGTTCTGGGTAGTCGTAGGCATCAGACCCTGCAGGCACGCTTCCGCTAGGCACTTCCAACAGGATAACCCAGCCCGTCTGCCTGTCTGTCAGCAGCCACAGAGGGACTCCACTAGACAAAGTGAGCCTCTTCCTCCAGCCCCACATCCTGTGAGGGCCCTACCTGGGCAGTTAGCTTTTTATGTCAAATCGACACAACCAAATTCACCTGGAAAAGGGAAGCTCCCTGAAGAATTGCCTAGACCAGCTTGGCCTGCGGGCGTGACTGTGGGGCATCATCTAGTTACTAACTAACTGATAGGGGAGGACCCAGCCTACTGTGGGGAGCGCCATCCCTCAGCAGGGCTGATGGCCCAGAGTTGTATAAGAAGAGTACGTGGGGCAGTGGCGGCGCACACCTTTAATCCCAGCATTCAGGAGGCAGAGGCAGCAGAGCTCTGTGAGTTCGAGGACAGCCAGGACTACATAGAGAAACTCCGCCTCCAAAAACCAAAACCAAAAACAACCAAAATCAAAATAACAGCAACAACAACAAAACTCTTCCCTTCCCTAAGTAGCTTTTGATCCTAGTTTGTCACAATAGAAAACAAATGAGGACACCACATAGGAACCTCCAGCCCAGGTCTGGGCTTCCGCTAGCCTCAGATCTGCTTCTCTGCTGCTCCCAACCACAGACACATCCTCCGTCTGACCCTCGCAGCCAGACCCTCATCGCATCCTTCTCCACCACACGTGACCCCCATGCTAGGCCTTGCACAGACTGGGTGAGAGCTGACCACCTACCCACCAAAGCCCACATTTTACTTTTTATTTGGAAACAGAGTGTTGCTAAGTTGCCAGAGCTGGCATTGAACTCAGTCTATAAACCAGGCTGACCTTGAGTCACTGTGCTTGCAGGACTCCTTAGGCCCGGAAGAAGCCATTAGGAGCAGAGGACTTCTACTCGCAGAACAAAATGAGCACCTACTATGGAGCTGAGATGCACCAGGTAGAACAGAGACACGTGCATGCTATGGCTTGCACACATGCATACACACACATGCGTGCACACAGAATGTTTCCAGGGTAGGCATCGCCGTAAGGTGATGAGGAAATAGGTTCTTCAGATATCTACAGACAGGACATACCAGGCCAAGAGAAAGATTGTGCAAAGGCCCTGGGGCAGGAGCGGGTCAACTGTGTCTGTAGATACACCAGCTGCTCTTGGAAGGGATCGTGTAGGGGCCTTGATGTCATCATTATAAGGGTTTGGTTTTTACTCTCAGGAAAACCAAGAGACATTGCCAGGGTTTGAGAACAAGGTGGCCCAATGTGACCCACCACTCCTCGTGACGGAAAGTGACAGGACAAGGAGGTGGCCAGGGTGGACTGGGCTGGGAGGGGCGGGGCATGCTCCTTTTAGTCTGCCAGTCTGCAGAGCCTTCTGAGGTAACCTGTCTCCCGCCTCCCCTTCATGCCCCGGTCCTCCTCTCTCCATCCCCATGACCCTGCTTGTCAGAACTCTCCTTTCGCCGTCAGCTCTGCCCACACAGTGGGGCAGCCCTACTTTCAGAGAACTCTCAGAAAATAGCGAGCATGATAGAAGAAAGTCACAGTGGGCCCGGCATGAGGAGAACAGCAGATTACAGTGTCTGGTCCCAGCTGCTCACCCTGTAATCATCACAGGCTGCAGGTGGACGGGACCCTGGACCACACCCCCGCAGGGCCAGCACTTGCGGTCCTCCGCAACACCGTCCTGATGCCTCACAAAAGCAAAGAGGAGGCAGACGGCACTGTGGAGGCGCTGGGCCCAGCCCATATGAGAGAAGCCTAAAGGGTACCCCAAGGTGTGGAGGTTCCCAACAGGAAGCGATGCTGTCCAGAGCACACAGAGTATTCGAACCCAGGATGTTGTCCAACCACAGATGCTGCTTCTTCCAGGTCAGGCCTTGGACTCAGTCAATAGGGCAAGGCTTTTTAGTCCCCACCTCAAGCCAATAAGAGGAATTGCCCTGTGACAAGGCAATATGCATATAGCTGACTGTCAGATGCTAGCTTCCAAAGGGCCTGGAAAATTCTTTCCCATGATGATGACCCGATTGTCTGAGAGAGAGAGGTTTGGTCAGAACCATGTTTTCCCACCTAGCTAGGCCACGCATCATAATGCCAGAGGACAGGCAAGCCCCCTGCTCCCTGTCCCCCCATGCCAGCTTGTGACCAATTCCTCCTGTTCTCTAGGAACAAAGGCTCCGTGTCAGCTCCCTGGGTCACCTGTCTGTCCGGGAACAGACCTGGCTGCCTTCAGCTGTCACGTGCCATGTGTGGCTGTGGCCTCCAGCACCTGAGTCATCTGTGACTCATTGCCCTCTACCCTTGGCTCAAGAGGGATGGGCCAAGTGGACTCAGCTCTGAATGAATAAGACCAGCCTGATGTCCCTGGCACAAGCCTGGCCTTCTCTCCCACAGCCAGACACGAGAATAGAAGTGAGCGCAACTTCCCACAGAGGACCGAACACAGGTGTGTACCCACCATGATGAACCGTGGTGCCACCCACACCTGTGCTGGAAGACCCCAGGTCCCCAAGTCTTCCTGAGTCCCACCCGCCAGGGTAGGACTAGACTCTGCTATTAACCATGTGAACTCACACACACTTACCTCACTCACACACACACTCACACACACTCACCTCACTCACACACTCACATACTCATACACACTCACCACACTCATACACACTCACCACACTCACACACACTCACACACACAATCCTTCTCTGGGCCTCAATCTCTTCCTCTGACCTGGGCCTCAAGGGGCTAAGATCCCTTCTAGTCCTTAATCTAAACTACATTTATTTATTTACTCTCTCTCTCTCCCTCCCTCCCCACTTGTGTGTGTGTGTGTGTGTGTGTGTGCACACCTGTGCACAGTTTTCTCTTTCCACTATGTGGGTTGCAGGGATCAGACTCAGGTCATCAGGCTTAGTGGCAAATAGTGCCTTTACCCACTAAGCCATCTCTCTGCCACTAAGCAGGGATTTTAATAAGGTGTTTACACACCTGTAATCTATCAGGGACAAGAAACTCAGGAGTGTGATGGCAACGTGAAAGTGGAGGAAGGAAAATGGGAGCATGCCCCCAGACACGACTGCTTCTAACTACAGCCAGGCTGGGAGCATGCCCGCCCCCCAGACATCACTGCTTCTAAGTACAGCCAGGCTTGGAGCATGCCCCCCCCCACCAGCCCTGACATCACTGCACTTCTAACTAGTTAGGCTGGGAGCATGCCCCCAGACATCACTGCACTCCTAACTACAGCCAGGCTGGGAGTATGCCCGCCCCCTAGACATCACTGCACTTCTAACTACAGCCAGGCTGGGAGCATGCCCCCAGACATCACTGCATTTCTAACTACAGCCAGGCTGGGATCATGCCCCCCCCCAGACATCACTGCTTCTAACTACAGCCAGGCTGGGAGCATGCCCCACCCCCCAGTCCCAACATGACTGCACTTCTAACTACAGTTAGGCAGCAAAGGGTAAGACAGAGGGCCCTGGAAGATGTTCCAAGTCCCACTAGAGCAACCATCTCCAGGTAAGGACTAAGAGGATGAATTTCTATGGGTACCATCCAACTGGGCTTCTTCGAGGGCAGTCTGAGGGCTATGTCTCCCTCAGACTGGGAATCTCAGGAGACAGGTGTGTCTCCCTCAGACCGGGTTCCCTAAGCCGGGCTGTCTCTACTTCAGACTCTCGTAGTAACAGCCCCACAGGGAAGGTGACAACACTACCTAAGGAGCTGTCTTTATTGGCTCCTTGCCATTTTGGGTCTCTTTCATCTTCAGGCCCTCTGAAGTGATGAGGGTCACACATGATAGACCCCAGGAAAAAGACCGGCCGTAAGAACCAGAGGTTTACAGCTGTGGTCCTCAGCCCCCCCTTACCCAGACCCCGGAACTCTTGCTAAGTGCCACCTCCTCCATTTCTCGGGAGGGGTTGCGGCTCCTGGCCTCCCAGCGTGGAGGGGATTGAGAAAGCCAGGAAGGGAGAGTATGTTTCTCCACTTGGCCTCAGTGGTGGTTTCCCAATCCATGTGATTACTGGTGAAGTCAGACCGGCACAGCCAGGCAGGCTGCTGGATCCTAGAACCTTCTCTGCTGGATCCTAGAACCTTCTCCTGTTGCAGTAGCCCATAAAACCAGACCGGCCCCTGGCGGCCCTCACCCATGAGGGTCCAGCCCAAAGAGAGTGAGGACACAGACCCGCAGAGGCAGAGGCAGAGCAGAAAGACAGGTCTCATCTTAGAAGAGAGGCTCGGGAGAGGACAGTGCCCAGGCGTCTGCATCCTCAACTTGGAGTCCCACCTTAGGGGTTACAGCTGCCCCTGCCACCGAGATACTGTCTTCCAGATGTTTTGAAGAACACACTCCACATGGGACCCCTTCCACAACAGTTTCCTCACTCTTCTGAGGCTCTCGGAGAACCTTCCATACAGCTTTCCTTTGCCTTTAAGAAAAAGTATACCGCCGGGCGTTGGTGGCACATGCCTTTAATCCCAGCACTTTGGAGGCAGAGGCAGGCGGATCTCTGTGAGTTCGAGGCCAGCCTGGTCTACAAAGTGAGTTCCAGGACAGCCTCCAAAGCCACAGAGAAACCCTGTCTCAAAGAAAAAAAAAAAAAAGAAAGAAAGAAAAAAAGAAAAGAAAAAGTATACCATAAGCCAAGAGCAGTGGAGCACGCCTTTAATTCCAGGATTCAGGAGGCAGAGGCAGGCGGATCTCTGAGCTCAAGGCCGGTCTGGACCGCAGAGTGAGTTCCAGAACAGACAGGGTTAAAGAAAAAGTGTGCCAGGTGCCTCCTATAATATCCACATTCAGGAAGCTGAGGCAGGGCAAATCTAGAGTTTGAGGCCCACCTGGCTACAATAGCAAGCTCTTGTCTCACAAAAGGGAACAGGATGGAAGGGTGCAGTGGTTACAAACTCCTGACTTCCTGACCCACCAACAGATCCCATTTGCAATTTGGAAATTGCTACCCCCTAGATTAGCAGGCTAAACATATTGCTATTTTACAGCAGAGACACTGTGGCCCCGGGAGCAGGTAAGAGTTCTCTGAGCTCTCGTGGGTGACAAGGCTCTGCCAGAGCTCAGGCAGCATGGTTCCCAGGGAACTACTTCACTTTATATTTCCAGAGCCTAAGGGCTTTTTCAAGATGGCTGACTACAGAAAGAGGGCAGAGAAGGGAGGAGCACACTGGTCCACGGGGTTCCTGAAGCTCCCCGGGACACACCCTGAAGGCAGTAGGAAGCTGCTAGTCTGAGGGGTAACAGACTTGGTGCTTAGGAGGTTCCCAGTCTGAGGGAAGAGCTCCCAGTTGGTCTCCGATCTCTGGTGCGGCAGAAATTGAAGCCATACCCAGAACAGGGGCTGCCTGCCTACACTGGTACCTTCACCTCACAGCAGGGGGAAGAGCATCAAAGTGCCTGAGAAATTTACCTCAGAGGAAGGCTCAGGCACTCCCACCAGGAGCCAGGAGCATTGCTAGACAAAATACAGGATGCATGGTTAAGCTTGAATTTCAGATAAACATTGAACATTTACTGGGCAGCCTGTGTTTTTATTTGCTGTATCTGGCAAGTGCCTCCAGGATCTTCACTCTTCAGACCTAGAAGGGCCGGCTTCTCAGGGAGCCCTGAGGCCCAGGTTGAACTACGCAAGAGACAGAGGAAGGAACTCAGGTCACGTATGAGGAAGAACTTTCTAGATACTCAATATTGATCCAGGGTGTGGTGTGGCAGAATTAAGGTCTCTGGGACTAGCACACAGCCCCAGCCTCCGTGGAGTAATTGTGAGGTCATAGATGTCCCCTGGTAAAGTAGCTGTCCCCTCTACTCAAAAATGGGAGGAAATAAGGCCTGTGACAGGGACAACCACAGAAGGCTTTTGAATAGATAAGTAATGGAGGCTAAGAGTGCAAATAACCACTTTGCCCCTTCCCAGAAGCCATAGCAGGCCATTCAAAACAGGCCAGTCTTCCTGGAATTTTCCCTTGGCAACTGCCAAGGACCGTCATACCCCTGGCATCTGGGGTCCGTGGTGGGAGAAGGACGCCCATTCCTCCACAGTCATGGTCTAGAGGGCCTTGCATGTGGGACTGAGCTTCCCTCTCCCCATGGACCCCCTGTTCTCCCTGCACCCTTCATTTTGTGCTTTTCATGTGGCTGCTGCATCAGGTGATGCTCAGGGTATGACCCGGGTGGTCTTAGCCAGGAGGAAAGACTCCAAGGATATATAGGCAGTAAACCCCTTCCCCAGTCCAAGAAGGCTCAGGGTACCAGTAGCCTGCCTGCCACATCCTGGAGCCGCACCCTGGAGCCACACCCTGGGAGATGCTCAGTTGCGAAGCAGGGTCCCCTGACCCAGGCCCTGATGGCCCCTCAATACCGAGAGGAAAGGGGAAAATGACCCCCATCTCTCCTTGTGTCATTCCTGCCCCGGCATTTGTCACACCAGGGGAAGGAAGCATCTAGACCGGTGAGCCTTTTCTGGCTCTGTAGGTCAGCCTGCAGGGAACGAGGGCAGAGCCTCCCCTCACCTCAGGGAGCAAGAGTACGGCTGACACAGCACAGCCCTACTCTGCAGTCTGGGACACAGGAGCCAGCCAAGGTCCATTTATTCACTCGCCCATTCGCCCACTTGTCTCTCCATCCATCAGTCAACAGATGCTGTATTTACTGAGGCCCCTCTTTCTTGCCAAGGATGAAGCCCAGGATGTCACGTATGCTAGGTAAGCACTCTACCACTGAACCATACAACCAACACTAGTAAACCCTCCTTTGCTCTGTTTTCTTTCTATTTGAGGTTTTGATTTGGTTTGGGGTTTCTTTTGTGAGTGGGTGCGTGTTTTTGAGGCAGGATCTCACTATATAGTTCAGGATAGCCTCAAATGCTTTGTGTAACCCAGATTGGCCTGAAACTCTCAAAATCCTTCTTTCTCAGCCTCCCGAGTGCTGAGATTACAGGCACGTCCCGCCATTCCTGGTTCTGGACCCCTCTATGTCCGTTAGCTAATTGAATACACGCCTACACTTAGGCGGTAGTTAGTGTCGTGTAGTTATACACAGTGTCACAGCGAGGTCCAGAGAGGTCTGCCAACTTGCAGACAGTCACACAGTCAGAAAACTCTATGAGTAGCTCAGGTCTGTCGGACTTCTAATTCTGTCCCTGCCTCTCTCTCTAGTCATCTGCGTGAACCATCACCCTGTGGCCTAGCCACATCTGCCTAGGTATCAGCGTTCATCTCTAAAATGGGAGCACCGCTGTCCGTGTCTGGGGCGGGGAAGAAGTGACCCTGGGCACACACAACACTAGGAAACAGATATCATAGCTTCTCTTTTGCATATGGAGACAGTTTCAGAAAGGCAGTTTTGCCTGGAGACAAAATTGTGGCTGTACTTGGGAATTTGAGCCCTCGGGATCTAGAAACAGCAGCCAGGATTTGAACTTGGGCAGTCAGGTGAGCAGGGCCAGAGTACCCTCCGTGCTATCAACTCAGTCCCTTCCAGATAGAGGGTTATTAATAGCCCCGAGGTGTTTATTACTGAGCAGTCAGCAGCTCCCAGAGGGCAGCATGGGGTCATGGGACTTCGGCCAGGTCAGCCCCTACCCCACCCCCAGCCCCATGGGGGCTTGTCCAAGAAGCTGACTCCCTGCTGGGCCCTGGCCTGCCCCTGGGAGCCCTTACCCAACCAGGCAGCCACCCCGTGACTAGAACAGTGACCCCTGTCACACTTGTGTGCTTGCAAGCTCGTGCAGACGTTCTCATGTGGAAGGTCCATGACCAGGAGTCTTGTGGGGGAGGGAGGACACCTCTTGAGGGTGTCTGCCAGAAGCAGACTTTCCCCACTAGCCCAGCCAGCCTCAGGGGCTCTGCAGGCCTGGATTTCAGGAGATCAAGACACAAGGCAGACCTGGGAAGGAAACCCAGGAGAGAGGAAGGAAGAGGAGACACACTTCACATTTCCCTCAGAAGAATATTCCAGCTCCCTCCTAGGACATAACCCCTCCTAAAGTCCCAGGGAAAGCCTTCTCCCCAGTCCAGATCTCAAGGCCTTCCCTATATCTGTGCCATAAGCCTGTCTGCAAGTTCCAGCCCCTGAAAGATACAGGACTCACCCCTGCAGGCCTCCACTTCAGCCCTGCGAGGTCTGCTGAGACCACAAAGGATTCTTGGGGGGGAGGGGGTTGACAGTGTGTGTAGGGGTGGACACGGGGTGTTGCCTGTCAGGGTGGACACTCCTGGCATGTCTGTCGGGATAGGAAGAGACCTGTGTGTGTCCTGGACCTGTTTTGTTTGCTCACTAATTCCATGCACACTCACGCCAGCCCAGCTCAAACCCAGCATTGCTCCCAGGAGGACCTGCTCCATCCCTTTCTTCCTCTACATGTGCCCCAGGCGTTGGTGGTGCATGCCTTTAATCCCAGCACTTGAGAGGCAGAGGCAGGCGGATCTCTGTGAGTTCAAGACCAGCCTGGTCTACAGAGCGAGTTCCAGGACAGTCTCCAAAACAGTACAGAAACCCTGCCTCGACAAGCAAAAAAAAAAAAAAAAAAAAAAAAAAGAAAAAAAAGGATACTCCTCTACATGCAACTGTCCCTCTTCTGCTGTCCTGGGCTCCAGAGTCCAAGCCAGCCCGACTTGGCTCCCTCCCCAGCAAGAGGAAGGCTGCGTACTTGCAAAGATGGCTGTCAGACCCAGTGAGAGTATTTCAGTCGGAGAAGAAAGTGAGAAAAACAAACAGCCCAAATGTAATAGAGTGGCGCTCCGAGGAGAAGAGGTTGTCATGGGAACTAGGACAGTGGAATGACAGTGTCCACAGCACTGACATGCCCACCACTTCATCCCCTCGGGCTCACGGGGAAAGTGTTATTGTGTCCACTTCCTACATCTATTCCCCGAAACCAAGGCTCAGGGGGACAAAGGACCCAGTGGCAGACTCAGGATTCCAACCTGGATCAGAAGTCTCAGTGGAACTTAGGGGGACCTGAATCGCACTCTTGGTAGTGATAGGTGAGGCAGCTGGGGTAAGGTCCCTGTGGGGGGGACCATCAGGCCATCACTTGGGGGACATCTAGGGCCAGGATAGCTAGGCTAGCTACAAGGGAGGTGGGGTGCAGGGGTATGGTCTTCCTACAGGAAGCCTGAGATGGCAAATGAGGTCCTCAGACCTTAGGAGGACAGGTGAAACCCCAGGGGGGATGGGCACATGCTGGCATCTGCCCTGCTTAGAGGCCAGATGGAGAACCTTCAGGGGAAGTGCGGGGAAATCAGAGCACTATGTGGCTCATGACAAATGCAGAGAGTCCCATGGGAACTGTGAATGTGTGAGAGACGGGAGGATGGGACTGAAGGCTCTGAGAGGGCACCTCTGGGACCAGCATGCAGTGGTGTCCAAGGCCATCTTCGAAGCCACACAAAGGCAGGGTTATTTTCTCCAAGCTAGTTTGTGTCCTTTCTTTCTTTCTCTCTCTCTTTCTTTCTTTCTTTCTTTTTTCCTTCCTTCCTTCCTTTCTTTCTTCATCTATTTAATATCTATCTATACATCTACCTACCTATCTATCCATCTATCTATCTATCTATCTATCTATCTATCTATCTATCTATCTATCTATCAAGACAAGATCTCTCTAAGAAGCCCTGGATGTCTTGGAACTCACTGTGTAGATCAGACTGGCCTTGAACTCACAGAGACCAGCCTGCCTCTGCCTCCCACATATAATTTGTACCTTTTTGTTTATTCCTCTTTGCAGTCCTAGAGATCAAATGTAGGGCCTTGCACAGGCTACGTCAATGCTGTACCCCTGAGCCACATCCCCAAACCTTTGGTTTTCATCTTAATGGTCAAAGAAGTGTCTGGTGGCAGCTGTTTCTCCTCTCTCAGACTAGCGGTTCTGAGACCAAGGAGCAGCCGGAAGACACGGAGCTTGCCCCATTTCAGTCAGGGAGCCTCCCTCACAAACAGACCAAGTCTCTCCAAGTCTTCAGGTCCAGCCCTTCCATACTGGGAGGGAGACCCAGGCCCAGCCTTGCTCCCGAAGGTGCTCTTGCCCAATGAACCCCTCAATTCTAACTCTGTCCCTTCAGAGTTGCATCTTCTGTACCTACCACTGTTTATCCTCACCCATGCTGTCTTTGTCTTGCATTCCCCATATCTGGAAGATTATAAATATTTACTGTCTCCTCTCCTGGCCACCCGTAATCCCCATCCTGACAGATAATGTCCTGTGGGTACAGTAGAACAAACCCTGGTGACCGAAACCAGCTTGGGTACCTTCCAAAGGTTGCCTCACCCAGCCTTCATCTCCGGGCTAGCATAGGCAAAAGCCACAGTAGCACATGAGTGTTTGCGCCTTACCGAGGCACAGTACACATGGCTGGCATTCAGTAGATGCTGGAACATGGGTAGGAAAGATTCCACAGCCTCTTCCTGCAGCCTGCTTGCTGTTTTCTCTCTGGCCATCTTCATCCTCTATCTGTAGGTGAAACCCATGTTCTCCTGGAAAGACATCACCGGAACCAAATTACTCACCTCATTCTAGAAACGTGGGCTACCTGCAGCCCACACACTTAGCTCATCGCTGTATATTTGGGCAGAGGGTGGCTTTACTAGAGTGGGTCCCCAGAACTAAAGAATCCCAGTGACCTCATTTGCATGTCTGGGACCTGGGCTTGGGGTGGTAGGAGCAACTGGAGGCTGGAGACCCTTTCTCTCCTTCCTTCTGCCTCTCCCCTCTCTTGGCGGAGTAGCTGCCTTCCAAGAGAGTAAAATCAGAAGGTTCAATGTCTGTGAAACCTACTCCCACAAGTACTGAAACGTGTCTTCTGATGTTCAGGGCCTTCATCAAAGCAAGGCCTAAACGCCATCACAGACTGAAAAGGCAGGGCTGACGGACTGCTGTTGGGAGACAGCGTGAGGAAAGGAAGCATTCTTGACACATCACCATGATAGTCCTAACAGGCAATGTGTGCCCAGGATGGCCCGGTTCTGTGGGAGGGAGGTGAGTGGGCCCATGGCCCCGGAAAGGGGACTGTGACTGCACAGAGCTCCTTTGGACAAAGGGAAAGTATAGAAACAGAGTTCAGGGTGGGGCAGGTCTTAGCCTTGATCAGGTCTTCTGTGGGCCCCTGGGAGAATCGGAAGACAGCATTTTTATTTTCTCCTCTTTTTCTCCATGGTCTATTTCTCCACTCCTCTGTCCAAGGCTGAGTGTTGCAACCCCTTGCGTGCTTAGGTTTCCGATCTTCAACTGGCGGGCCCCAGCCCCTGGAGACGTTGCTCGCCTAGCCTAGCCTTACCATGCATAGGGAAGTTGGATTTCGGCCCTGGGTTTGGCCACCACTACATCCTCCCAGCGTCCCACTTTCCTTCTGCCTGTTTGTATTCAGTCTAGACGATTTGCTTTTATTTGTTGGTGTCCTGCCCTAGCCGGGGGCAGCTGTGGTGGGGTGGGAAGAGCACTAGAATTGGAGTCAAGAAAGCTGGCTTAAATTCTCGCTAGGATGTTTATTAGCTGTATAAAAACTCAGGCAAGTTATTTACCTTCCCTGGGCCTCCAGCATCTCCTCTGCTCAGCAATAGTAACAAGCTCCATCACTAGGGCGATTAAAAGTTGACAATAGCTGGCATCAGGAATACGGTCTCTGATCCCAGCCCCCACTGCCCACCTAACCAGCAAGTCCCCACCAACCTCTCCTGGCGTCTCTGTAGAACATCACTGCCACAGTCTTGGAATAAAGTCTATCTTCAGACCAAAGCTGTGTGTATGTGTGTGTGTGTGTGTGTGTGTGTGTGTGTGTGTGTGTATGTATGTACAAGCAAAGAGAAGAGTGAACTTTAGAGCCACACAGTCCAGAGTGGTAGACCCAAGCCAGGCACGTATGTATACCAGATTATCAGATGTGGCCACTTAAGATGCAGCCACTATCAATTTCAATACATTATAAGTATAAAATGCATACTGGGGAAGCCGGGTATGGCAGTACATGCCTTTAGTCCCAGCACTTGGAAAGCAAGAGGCAGGTGGAGTTCTGAGGGTTCAAGGCCAGCCTGGTCTACATAATGATTTCCAGGACAGCCAGAAATATGTAGTGAAACCCTGTCTTGAAATACAAAAACAAAAATTACAAACCAAGGCCAAGTATGGTAGCACATGCCTTTAATCCCACCACTCAAGAAGGCAGAGGGAGGCAGTTCTGTGAGTTCAAATACAGCCTTGTTTACTTACTGAGTCTCAGGCTAGCTGGAGCTACACAGTAAGACCTTGTCTCAAAAAAAAAAAAAGAAAGAAAGAAAGAAAAGAAAAAAATAAAAAATTGATACCCCTAAAATATAGACGACTCTAATAATTTTCATTTTGAATAAATGTTTAGATAGTTCACATATATACTATTAAAGCATAAGTATAAGTTTTATCTGTTTCTTTTTAAAATCTGACTTTTGGAAAATTTTAAAGTGTATGAACTAGAAATATGACTTGTGCTTAGACCTCATGAAGCTCTGGGCTCGATTTCGCAGCACCGGATCAAACCAACTAATAAATCACATGTGGCCCACGTGCTATTTCTATTGGCTGGCACTGTTGTTGACTAAGCCAGAAGGTAGCAGGAAAGGGAGCCCTGGGAAGGAGGTGGGGAGCTGGATGCCGAGGAAGGCAAATCTCTGTGAGCTCAAGGCCAGCCTAGTCTATACGGTGAGTTCCAAGACAATCAAGACTACCCAGAGAAACCCTGTATCAAAAGGAGGAGGAAGAAGGGGGAGGAGAGATGGCCCAACAAATAAAATGCTTGCCACACAAGTCCAAGGACCGAAGCCTGGGTCCCCAGCACAGAGGCGAGCACCTGTAATCCCAGTGCCGGGGAGGCGGACAGGTAATCCCATTCCCGGGGCTCACTGGCCTGCCGGTGTATCGAAATCAGTGGGTTCCAGGTTCAGTGACCTCTGCCCTCCCCACGCATCTGCGCACATGTGCATGGACATACATTCCACACAGCAGGGGAAAAAATAAAAAAACGGAAGTGAACAAGCCTTGAAGGTTTGAAACCAAACATATCCTCTGTGAGATGGGGTGTGCCGAATGGGGTGGGAGCAGCCTCCGCAAAGGCCCCTGAGAGGAGAGTTTTGGAACAGAGTGGTGGAAGCCACATACCCAAGATGAGTCAGAATCCAGTGAGCTATTGAAAGGCAGCTGGGTGGTACGGGGCACGTTTACTCTGTCAAATGGAGTCGCTACAGGGTTTTGAGCCACAAAGTGGTATGATCTGTCTCCTCCTTTACCAGGCGCACTCCAGCTGCTCTGGGAGAAACAGTCAAAGGGAGGTCAGAGAAGAATCTGAGAGGCCAAGTTCCAGGTAGATACAAGAACACCTACCTCACTGAGCCTTCCCCAGACGTCAACCGTGTATATTGGGAAAGGACGGGCACCATGCAGAAGCTTCCAGCAGGCAGGACCTTGCCTCCTGGGTATGCCCTGTCAGCCACACTGCTGCCTTTGACGTCACCTCATCATACTCAGGCATCCTCCCCCACTGTTGCCAGGCACCTTGTTAAAAACATCTGGAATTAAGATGCCCATTTGCATCCTCTTACTGATAGAGGCACTTCCTGTCCCCCCCTGCCTGAGTACCACCTCCAACAGGCCTTTGCTCAACCCTTCCGCCTAGAGTTCAATGCCCACTCAGATCCACCTCCAACACGCCTCTCATCCATCATTTAGGTTTCTGCAGAATGTGTTCATGAGAAACCACCTGCACCATGATCCCCAGCTCAAGCTAGAAGCCCAGGCAATGCCACTGTTTTCTTCCTTGTGGGAATGAATCTCCATCTCCCACCACCCTTCCCCACTGCTCTTTCTGGTGGCATATCCACACAAGAGAGAACCCTAGGGTGTCCCATAGGAGCCAGCCCAGTATTTACCCAGCCCTATTTGCTATCTGAAGGAATAAGACGCTAGAAGCTGACTGAGACACGATACTCTTTGTGCCAAAGACCCAAGCAGGGTCCACCTTGCCTGGGAGTAGGACAGGACAGGAAGGCTTGCACAGGGGAAGCAGGGAGTCCCACTGGCAGCAACAAGACTCTCGTTTAGTACTCTGAAGTAAACTGCCCGCTTCCCCCTCCGGCCAGCTGCATTCAACGGCTCTCTCTCCAGTTAGCTCCGGGGACATGGCCTGCTCCTTGCTGACAAGGGTCTAGATGAGTTCTGCATGGTGTGAGGACCCTTTGCTAAGGAGCCAGCTACCGCCACCCATCCCAGAGCACCCACTCTTTGTATTGAGCAGGGAATGGATGGGTCACCCCAGGGACCGTTTTCCCAGACCTAAGACAATACCTTGTCCCCAAAGGAGGAGGGAGAGTGGGACAGAAGGACCCAAGAGAAGAGAGACCAAGGAGAGCTTTGAGATCAGAATTCAATTCTTTAATACAAAATGCTTTTTTTTAAGATATATCTGTATTTCTTTGTTGCTGTTTAAAAATAAATATGTACTACGGAATATCTCGGAAAACTGCACTAGAGACAAAGACGTGATGTTAATATCTTTTTCCCCCACAATTATTACGGATAAACAGTAGCACCAATAAATAAATGATAACAAATATTAAAATTAAAAAAGGAGAGAGATTTAGTATGTAGAATTCTCTATTTTTCTTGTTTTGTTTTTACATATAAAAAACAGAATAGCAGTCTATTTCATCAGGATCACATATATACATAAACATATATATATATATATTTATATACAAACACAAGTAGCCAAATATATATATAGTATGTAAATGTATATTGAAACCTTATTTCAAAGGAATGTGTGGAGGGGACAAGGGGAGGGCAGAGCTGAGTGTTAGCAAAATTAAATATCTTCTCAGGACAAGCTAGTGACTGTCACCGATCCGGGAGAGAGAGAGAGATTGGAAACAAAGATTTCATACATACACACACACACACACACACACACACACACACACACGCACGCACGCACGCACACACACACAGTACAAATAAGAGAGAGCGAGAGATACATCTCATAAATAGTTGAAATTAAATATTAACCAAGAATACTGAAAAAAAAACCCTACTCTTTAATTAAATTAACTGTTTTAATTTCTAATTAAAAAGGGCTATTAAATAAGTACCGTATATAAAACACTTTCTCTTTTCTCTGCCTCCATGAGGGGCTTGCGGGTCCTGCCCCCACTGCTCTGTGCCTCGGGAAGGGAAAGGGAGGGATGGGGGAGGGTTATCCACTCACACACGTCCACGTCTCCTGGGGACAGAACTAGTGGTTTCAATGGTCTGAGCACACAAGGTTCCCTGGGCTGTACCCAGGAAACGGGGTAGGGAGAGAAGGAGGGGTTCTCAGGAGGAGGAGCCATCGCCAGGCCTCTTTTTCCACCAACGTGTTTCTCTTTGCCAGGACACCTGTGGGAGGCCTCCTGGGCACCTCAGAGGTGGAGGAGAGAGCGGAAGGCTGGCCAGGCTCCTGTTTCTTCCAGGCAGTGCCCAGAGGGGCAGGATGCTCTTGCAGCATGTAGTGGGTAGTCCACAAAACAGGCCATGTCCTGAGGCTCCCCGAACTCCTGTTGGAACCAGCGTCTTTGTCTCTTTGTCTGCCATCTTTCTGTCCTCTTGACTCGGGGCCAGGGATGGGTTTGTCGTGTTTCTGGAAGTGAGCCAGTGTGCCCCCGTGCCCTGGCCTTGCACGTTCCCTGGCAGGCAGAAGGATGAAAGACCACACCAGAGTCTTTTCATCCTATGGTCTCCCCTATCAGGATCCGAGTAGGGACATTCTCCTCCCAACTCAAGTCCACAGCAGTCAAACACATCCAGTGAAGACACCAATAACATTAGCAAAGTTAATTTAAAAAAGAATATATATATATTTTATATATATAAAACATATATATTTATTTATATATATAATATATATATATATGTGTGTGTACGTGGGTGGGTGTGTCTACAGGAATCCCAGAAATAAAACTCCCTAATCTTCCGGGCTTGGTGATTTAGCAGCAAGTAAAAGAAAATGACGAATCCAGTTCCACGAGGGACCATGCTTGGTCACCTGCCCGGGAATGCTTCTGCCGGAGTCTCACCCTCCGGACCCAAAGTGCTCCTCGAAGAGTCTCCTCTTCCTTCATGTCAGGCTTTCTGGATTAAGGACTGTTCTGTCGATGGTGACGATGACGGTGTGGTGGTGACATGGTTAGTCGGTCTTTCAGGTGACAGGTCTGGTTCCCGAAACCCTGAGGGAGGCTCCTTCCTGCAGCCTGGCTCACCGCCTTGGCTTGTCACATCTGTGGGGAATGGCAAAAAATAGGCAATGAGGTAAACAGCTTCCTGGGGGCCTGGGAGTCCCTGGGTCCCCATAGGCAGGCACTACAGGGCCAAGTTCCCCAAGGTTCAGGTGGGACAGAGTCCCAGTGGAGAGAGAGAGACCCAGCCCTTCCTTCTAAAGATGGCGACCTAGGGAAGACAAGACAGACATGGAAATACTCGCAAAGCAACACATGAGCAATAAAAGGACAGCGCCCGTGTGACATTCCACAGCAGACGGGTGACAGTGTTAGATGCAGTTGTCTGGGTTAGGGTCCCTGCAGAAGAATTTCCGGTTCTGAATCTAGGGGTAGGTGTAGAAGAGTACACAGTGGACAGGAAAAATGCCTTGAGCTAGGCCAATGACAGAGAGCTACCCTGGGGATGTGTTCTGCCCAAGGGAGGACAAGTCCTGGAAAGTCCTGCGGCTCCAGGAAGGTAAGAGAACACCTATGCCCCCCACACCTCTCTCAGCCTTAGCTTTCACCCTGAGCTTCCTGGCAGCGGCCGACCCAGTCACGGGGCCGCTTGTCTTTTACCACATGTCTAACTTAGGCTTTGCTCCTCCTGTGAACGCAGAGGGGGTTTCTTCTCATGCGCCTGCCCCTGGCTGGGTGCTCCAAGGACAGCCTGAGAACACGGGTCCTAACCCAGACACAGGCAGTAGCAGACTGGGTCTCTGGGAGTCAGGTAACTTCAGTTAGCTCCCTGCTCACTCCAAAAACCCTGCAACACAAGGTCGTTATCTTCCTTAAAGCCCTCTGGAAAACTGAGCCCCGTCACCCAGCCCGTGGTTTGGAAGAATCCCTGCCATGCTCGGTGTCCCACCGTGCTTCACAGGGATAACGCCACACCAACAACCAAGGCCAGCTCCGCGGCATCTTATGATCACCCACAAGACACAGAATGCAGGCAGTGAAGGGGGCACATGCCAAAGGGCCCTTGCACTGCTTGAGAGCCTGGCCCTGTCTGGGGCTCCCTTTAAGAGTTCTTCTTCCTGGGGGATGCTCATTACCAGAGCAGGCCATACTGACATAAATGCCTATCTAGACAATCAAGGCTACGAGCTGCCAGTCACAGCCCTGTGCTCTTGACATCCCCGCTGAACGTGGCCATATACAATGTTCACTCATGAATGGCCCACAAGGGCAAAGGACAGAAGTACAGAACCTGGGTGTCCCAAAGGGTTATAGACCAGGCCCAGGCTTAAGGTGCTCATAGAGTCATGCCAGGAGTGAGGCCTAGCTCTTCCCTGCAACCGCCCTGGAAGCATTTTGAAATGTGTGGTCTATTCAGGGCTGTCACTTGGCCATGACTGATCCAGGACTAAGTTATCTGGTGTCCTCAGACGTCTGTAGAGAGATTTTCCCATCCTAAACCAACAACAGAGCCCCACTTTCAGGAAGCCCCACTTTCAGGAAGGCCCACTCTGCTGTGGACACAGCCTGTCCTCAAGGCCTCACACTCTGAGGGGGACAGCCTGTCTTCAAGAAGCTACAGTCTGAAGGGGACACAAACAGCGAGAGATAAGGCTCCAAGCCCAGGGGGAGAAACAAAAAACCCTGAGCAGTGTGAGGCCCAGCTGCGCAGGCTCTGGGGAAGAGGTGCAGCCAGGGAACACTGTTAGACACTCCATACCCGGAAGGACTTTCCTTCAGATTTCAGCATTTACACCGAAGGCAGAATTAACAACATCAGCACCAACAGCTTCCACAAGCAGCAGGACCGCAGGACACAACACACAGCTTGCGTCCACACCATCACATTAAGCCACAGCAGCCTACCCACTCAGGCAACCAGGGCCTACCAGGCCCGACAGGAGCCCAAGACCCACACAGCTTCAGGAGTAGAGAAGGCAGCAGTCACCACACAGGCAGCTAGAAGCAGAGCAAGCAGCTGGCCCCTCACAAGTGTGCTCTCTCTGTCTCTCTCTCTCTCTCTCTCTCCCGTGTCTGCAATGCCCCTCTCTGACTCTCTCACTTGCCCTCTGGAAACCAACCTGCAAGTACGTTCGTTTAACTCAAGCTGCCTCGCCTTGCAACGCGAGTCTGTGTTTTTGCAGGAACATTTACACGTCTGCGGATCTTGGACAAACAAATGCTTTCTCCGCTCTGAGCAAGGCTCACAGTGACTGCAAAAAGGCAAAAGGAAAGACATCTAAGCTAGAGCATCAGCAGAGAGAGAGAGAAACCCATGCAACACCCCTAACATGTCCACACCGGCTTCCCCACCCAGCTCACGGGCCCCTAGGCCCTTCCCACGTCCTGGAAAGGCCCGAGCGCTCTAGCAGAAGACAGAGAGAGTGGCAGGAAGACGCGGCGGCACGGGCAGGACATCTGCCTACAGGAAGAGGAGGCACAGGCGGGCAGAGTGCAGGGAGA